ATATAATATATCTTTCTTGAAATCATAGAGTTTTTTTTTATTGAAATGAGTTATAAACTTATTCAAAACTAAAAACAAAATAGTAATGTAGATAATATGATTGCATGCAAATATGCAATTTAACAATAATTCTCCTGAATTTCTCTTATTCTGAAAAGACTTTTACCTATGTTTTAAAATAAGAGAAATTTTAGGAGAAATTTTATTGAATATCAGATCAAATTTTCTACATCAAAGTATTAGTTACATGTTTGTTATGAAAAATCATACTAATAATACTTGGATTTCCAAAAAAAAGATAGCTCTTAAAAAAAAAAATTAAGCTCGATGATTCATCATGTGGATTGAGGTCATCGTTCAAGTCCTTCCATTTCAATTACAACTACGATTGGTCAATGGTCAGTATAAACATAAATATTAAACGACTAGATTAACCATCTCTTCCACATGTTTTGTAGATTAATTTAAGTTTCACTTACAGCCTCAAAACTACAAGTTGTAAGAAAAAAAAAGACAATTTAAAAAAAAAATCCAATGTTTGTTCATCACCAACAAATTAAGATATTATCTATTATATAAAAGTTGGATTGTGTCTCACAATCTTGATACATCAGCATCTATTATTTTAACACATCAGATTTACAAAATAATTTATAATTTATTTTATTGATTTTTAATTTGTTTAAAAAACACAAAAATCCTAAATCATTAAATACAATACAAAAAACTCTTAGGAACAATAAATTTCTTATCTTTTTTATTTTTTTTTGGGTTAAAATTCTTCTGCTTTGATTTTAGTGAGAGAGAATAAACCATTATTTATTCTTATTCTATTGATTATTGATGAAGATAGTCCAACAAAAAATCAAATGTAATTTGGGAAAACAAAAAAAGATCAACTGCATAATCTCTGAAAAGCTTAATGAATATCAGGAAGTCAACAACATAAAGTTATGGAACTAAAGGTGAATGATCATCTCTTTGTTTATAGTCTGCATTTGGATTACAAAACTTTTTAGTTTGTATGTTGCCTTAAGATTTAAAAAGTTTGTATGTTGCCTTTAGATTTTAAATCTTGACAAATCCTTGTTCTGTTGTAATCAAACTTATTTGTATGTTCAAAAGTCCAAATAATATCCCTTTAAAAGGAGTCAAGAAAATGAATACAACATATTTAGAGAAAAAAAATATTTTTAGTTGTAATGACTAATGATGACTAAGGAATTTTTGTTTTGTAAAAAGTCGTATTTCTCTGATGCAACAAATTATTCGGAAGTACTTGTAAAATTTACCAATATTTTTCTCTTATGCATAAAACTTCACAACTTTAGACGTAAAAACTAAAATTTGTAACCAAATGAAGGGAATGATAAATCTTATTAACTTTAAAAATTCGAAATAATACAACTAAAATCATGGAAGTAAGTAACTTTTTTGGAAAGAAATTTAAATAAAATAAAAATCCCATAACTGTAGAGTTTGAATTTTTAAATTATTTTTTCGTATTCTATAATCTTTTCAGACGAATTTCATAATTGTAGGATTTGGATTTTTAATTTGTTTTCACTTTTTATATGTTTCTTTGCCTAAAGTTGTAGATTTGGGCTTATATGCCAATTTTCTGTACCAAAGTTTTCTACTTCTACATAAAGCATCCCAAAAAGTAAAACAGATGTTAAGAGGATGAAATTGTGTGACCAAAGCCTCGGTAATCTTTTCAAGCATGCAAGTGTTCTTAAGATTTAGCATATGGAACTATGGAACCATAAGACGTCACTTTGAAAAAATTTGGGCTGATAGTTTTTAAATTCGCTTTAGTTAACGAATATTAATGTTAGCGATTAAATTCAAGTGAAAGATTTAGCACAAAAGACTATCTCCAACGTGAGATCTATAGTGATTTCATACTAAAAACTTGGTGAAGAAAAGTGGTCATGGGTTTAATAGAATTTGGGATATCACAGTTAGAACTCCATTATATTCATTTTCGATTTCAGAAGAGTTTATGAAATACTTTACCAATTAAAATAGGAAAATCCGAATAAATTTATCTATTTATTTATAGGATATGCTTCTTGAGTTTATAACCATAAGTTGATATTTTATACTTAGTATTTGTTGGATTATGAACTCTAGATTTTGTTTAGTATAATATGTATTTGATTAACTTCTTTAAAGACAAAATAATAGCTAAAAATAAACTGATAAAAATTTTACTTTTAAAAGAACTAAATAACAACTTTTTTTTACATGTATATGATAACCTCAAAAAAAAAATTCTGAATTGAGTTTATTTAAAACTACAAAAAAGCTTAAAAATATTTTAAAAAACATTAAAAAAAACTCTGTGCATTTGCATAGGTAATCATCTAGTATAAGCTAAAGGTTAACTGAATTAGGAATGTAAAATGAATTTTAAGACACAATTAAGGAAGCCAACAAAAAGTTTAAATTTAATATTGGGAAGTCGCTTTATTGTATATGTTTCATATTTGATTAAATAGAACACATAAAAAAATTATGATCATCTGATTAATCAAACAATATACAAATTAATAAAAATCAAGCTATATTTTAGACGAAACCGAAATGCAAGAACTAACAAAGACATGAGTAAACAGAAAAAAGGACGGACAACGAAGATCAGAAAATTACAATATTTTATGTTACTACTTACTAGTACTACAATGAAACCACTTCCCAATAATAAAACGGATCACCAAGCTGATTTATCTTTCTTTGCCTTGTTTTTAGCCAAGAGAAATGTGGTCTGTGTTGGGTCCGCGTGGTTTGTCAAAATAATCTGTAAGAGAAACCTTTTTTTAATATCTTAAACGCATGCGTTGAATTTTTCACTATTTTCAGTAACTACGAATAATTTCCCTTTTATTCAAAAGAAACTACTAATAATATGTAGGTAATACGTTCCCTTTTTCTTTTAAGACTTTGGCGTGTTACGTTTGAAGAGGTTAGTTTTTGGATGTCCTTATGATAATTGATAAGAACTGCCACTTTGTATGGACTATGGTTGATCTAGTTTTGCATGCACCTAATCTATTTATCTTTCTAAAATATATAAAAATACTATTCCAAAAGATAGGTACGTATGATAAGGGCCACAAGCGATTGCTTGCTCAGTTTACTCTAAAAGCAGGGTATGGATATATAGTTGTTATATAAATACATTTGCAATATACAAATATGACTAAGATATGTAATCGACTGGTTTGTACTATTATTATTATTGATATATCACCACCTATGGAATTGTGTTATCACTTTTCTTGTCAATATACATATACTTATTGAAAAATATCTAATAAATTACTAGCTGCCGTATTTTTTTTACCTAAATGTGCTCTTTTGATCTTTTGATCTGATATATGTGGAGCCATAATGGTAGTGATTAATATATAAAATCAGTAGTAGAATAATATCTTAGGAAAACAGTTGAACAGCAAAACGATAAACAATTGATTTTGCATGAAGAGTAATATTTTCTTTAACAAAAAATATATTTTATTTATTTTGTATTATACTTGTTATAACGCGTAAGATATAATACGATATTGTTTTATGTGCTTATAGGAATTTCGATACATTCTCTTAACCAATTTGTTTTTCTTCATGTGTTTATGACATTTTCTTTTTCTTTATATGTTTATGATCAAAAGTTAACCCCACACTATTGAATATAAGAATATTGTGTTGTCTTATTTCATATGATGAGAATTACAGAGGTATATATAGGAGAGCTACAGAATCATATAATAAATGAGAGAATCATAGAGAATAATTGTATAGAGTAATTATAGGGATCTTGATAGATATTATCCTTAATATGACCCCTCAAGCTCAAGGCGGAGATGAAGTGAAGACGGAAACATTGGCTTGAGATTGAATCTTTGATAAACTTGATAGGAAGAAAGAAGAAACATCGCGCTTGAACCATGCGGTAGACGGATTTACCGTGACTGATGGGAACACCTCAACGAACGTGTATGTGGAGGTTGAAGGAAGCATATAGCTTAGGAGAAGTCATTATGGACTTAAACAAGTGATCAACTTAGATCTTGGACGACATTGGTCGTGTGGAAACCTATAGCTTAATGAAGCCGTAAACGACTTGACCGCATATCATATTAGGATGGGCGGCATACGGTGGAAAGATTTGTAGAGTTTTTTTTTTTTTGTAAATGAGATGAAAGAAAACAAAAACAAAAATTCAAAAATAAAGAATGGAAAAAGTGCTATGAAAAAAAAAGGAGCACAAAGCTCTATAAGAAAGTGAAGAAAAACGTGTTTTGAGTTAAACAATATATAGATTGAGTTTGATCGGTGGATCAAAACTCACACAAATAACCTGCTCTGATACCATATTGAATATAAGAATATTGTGTTGTCTTATTTCATATGATGAGAATTACAGAGGTATATATAGGAGAGCTACAGAATCATATAATAAATGAGAGAATCATAGAGAATAATTGTATAGAGTAATTATAGGGATCTTGATAGATATTATCCTTAATCACACTTGTGTGAAGTTTGTAAAGTGAAAAATGGGGCTAAAATTGGATTGGACTGAGTAAAAGATTATGTTTGATTTGGGCCAAGTTGTTAATAGTTGAAGATGAAGGATGGCCCAATTTAGGGTATGACTTACCAAAAGGTTAAATCTTTAGGTTGGTCCATTTTATTGACATATCCTATCTTTGAAATATACAGTTGACTATTAAAAAAAGGAAAAACAGAACATAATGTTGACTTTTCTACTTACTATATGTTTTTATTTTTGGTTATACAAGACCATAATCACAGTCTGTGCATCTAATAGGTTTAACTAAAAATTGACGTAACTAAACAAATGAACCGGGTCGTAATTAAAATTGACCCGTACAAAAAAACCGGTCAAACCGGGATGAGATCCACGTCATCGACATCGTTTTCCTTAATTTACCTTTTCTCTCTAGACGGGACATTTATTATTAAAAGAGTCATAAATGATGGCCGGAATAAACTCTTCGCCGGCGACGATTAAGCTCTTCTTCGTTCTGTTTCTCGTTCTCACAGTCTCACCTCCATCACCCAATTTCGTCAATGGTTTCTCCTTCCCTTTCTCCTTCTCACAGTACAAAACCCTAATCTCAACCTCACGATCCCTCCTTCTCCGCGTCGCGAACCTACGCGCTTCGCGCGGAGACGCGTTGGGATCGTCTCGCGTGCGAGCCATGGCCGAGGAGATCGATCGTGGGTTAGGGTTAGGGTTTCTGAGCAGAGCGTGGTCTGTTGGGTGGGATTACATTTGGAATTACGCTTGGAGAAAGGGAGGGATTGACTCCGGCGAGATGTACGGTGCGATTGGTGATCTCAACGAGCTTATGAGTTTAGTGACTGAGTTCAATCGAGCTGAATCGAATGCTGATAAAGCGAGCTCCATTGCTCGGAGCTATGAAAAAGCCCTTCGCGTTTCGAAGCAATTGCTTCGTCGTCTTCTTAGGATCTTTGGTAAATCGGTAAGGGTTTCGAAAAGATGGATCCTTTAACACTTTAAAACCCAAATTCTGCTTCAAGTAGTGAAATAGAATGATATGATTAGGAATTACAGTGAAAAAATCGGATTTGATTACTGTTTCTGAGTATTGTTTCCAAGTGATGATTTGATACTTGTTCTTTAACTGTTTATGTGTTGAGTAGATGAGCCTAAGAGTTAAGCTCACTTTGATTCTTGTAACAGATGGTGATTTCAATTTCATATTTGAGTCTTCGTTTTGTATTAGCTCAAGCACTAATAGTGTGTTTCTTCCTCTGCTTTGATCCTTCCTAGTGGATGTATTTGCTAGTGAAATTAGTCTTTTGCCTGGGGTCATTTGATAAGAGTTTTACTAAGAAAAAGTATGTATATTGTTGTGTTTGTTTGTGTTATGATTGTTAGGGTGCATTAAGGGAGTTTTGGGAGATGGTGCAAGCTGAAGTAGTCGATGGAGAGTTACTACAAGACTGTCTCGAAGTTGGTAGCAACGACGTTAAGAGTTTGCTTCAAATCGCAAAGGATATGGCTTTACAATACTTTTCTTCTCAAAGCCGTTCCTCAGATGAATTATAGCTACAAACCAGAGCTTTCATGTACGTTTCTTCGTTCCATTTTGTTACACATCGTATGTGACCCTTTTTGGCGCGTTGTATTATCTCCTGCATTAGCAAAATCCTCTAGGAAATCTGCCTGAGCTGTTTTGTTTTGTTACATCTTTTTTTTTTGCTTGATAAGTTTTAAGAGATATCTAGACTAGAAAACGATTTGTTTGTTCGTTAGATGAGGTTAAAAGACTCATAGACTAGAAACTCTGTTCTCCATTGCATTCATTGTAATTTTCATCAATCTAAGCCCACGTTTTTGTTATAAAAAAGTCGAGGTATTGAGAAAATCTTTGAAAAACACAAGTCTAGCCATTGTAGGTATCCTACATTTTCTGTAACTGGTGAAATCTCCCACATTCATAGTTAGTATTTTATTGATAAAACAACTGAAATTCACAGTGTTTGATTGGTTCTCATTGCTGGATTCTTGCCTCTATGGTATTGTAGAGTTCATAAATACAACAACCATGTGGTTGTTGAATGGTGGAATAGATCTGAAAATCAGTTTTATTTTTATTTCTAATTATTCAGAATATTTCTTTGTTTGAACACGTTTGCTTTTTTAACTAATTCACTCTGTCACAACCAAATTTATTGATGAATGTCCATCAATTTGTATAGTAATAATTTATTGAGTTTCTCTTTTCCACTCTTTCCCTCGTCTTATTAATCCTTTTGGTGGGCTGCTTGAATCAGAAAGTTTTGAATCTTGGTTTGATAAATTTAATGCGTCCCAAATTATATTTTTCACAATTTAAGAAAACATATGCAAAACAGTGCAAATGAGAATTTATTACTTTCAACTACTCACATTTAGGTCTTAAGGTTATGTCATGATGAACACCATCATCATGACATGGAACTCACTCTCTGTCTTTCATTTAATGTTTACTTCCATCCTAACACATGGCAAATCCTCGACATCATTCTTCAACCGTTGATTCAACCAAGCAAGAGTGATCTCAGCCGTTAGATTTTGAGTATTGTTGCAATGGCAAGTGTGGTGGACCCTTCATTTCATGGTGTCATGTTTGTTACATTATGCCATTTCATTTCAAGGACTATAGTCATTTTGTTTTTTCTTTTCTTCCACATGCGTTGTGCTGAAATAAGCCAAACATGTTAAGCTGAGTACATTTTGTTTAAAGAGATTATTGGTTTGATAACATTGGTCGAGGTTACATACTTAATCACCCGTGATATTCATATGACCAAAGTGTATGTTGAAAATAAATAGAATAGGAGAATAATTATGTCACTTTGCAATTCTATAATTGGAGTAATCAGAGAGTGTTAGTTGAACAAAATGTTTTCTTCAGTTTCCATCTCGAGACAAGTTTTGTAACTTTCTCTTGAGCTTTGATACTTTTGAGGGAGAAAAGTCAATAGCTCGAATTCCAAAGGAAAGACATTAAAATCGAACCGTCACATTTACAAGTTGATTCACAGTAAAGAAATTAAACAAACATCGACAGAGAGTAATAACTCTCCACCATCTTCAGTTTTATGTCTCTAGATCGTGGATCCACACAAAAAAAAAACTCTAAATTATTTCACATATATAACCACACATTCATTTACTTTTTACATTTAAACATCCAAACATCATCGCCGCGTGAACATTTAATGCTTCTTCAACCGCTAGAAAACTTGATAAAATAACATTTTCTCATTCTCTCCATTTTCTTCAAACAATAGTATTATATAAACTCATTTTTCGTTCTTCACAATCCCAAAACCATCAATCTTTCCTCTCCCTATTCATAATCTTGTTCTTAGAAGAGAGATGGCGAGAATGTGTTTGATGATGATGATTATGGTTGCTATGACCATTAACATGGTTGCAAGTGATCCAATTGCACCATGTTACTTCATATTTGGTGACTCTTTGGTTGATAATGGCAACAATAATCAGCTTTCGTCATTAGCTAGAGCTAATTACTTTCCTTATGGTATTGATTTTGCTCTTGGTCCAACCGGTCGGTTTAGCAACGGCAAAACCACAGTCGATGTTATCAGTAAGTCTAATTAACTTACATTTTCCTCTGTTTTTTTTTTGTTTTCGTACTAAACACCAAAGAAACTAATTTGCTCTGTTTCTTTGTTGTAATCTTTGAAAAACCAAAGCTGAGCTTTTGGGTTTCGACGACTACATTACACCGTACGCCGCCGCAAGAGGACAAGACATTCTCCGTGGAGTTAATTATGCTTCCGCTGCTGCCGGAATCCGAGAAGAAACCGGCAGACAATTGGTAAATCTTATATAACTATCTCGTTTAGAGATTAGCATTCGATTTTTTTGGTTTGGTTCTTCAGATCTTCTTCAAGAGAGTTTCTAAAGTTTTACTCTTTTTCTTGTTGTTGTTGTTGTCTTTGTTCTTCAGGGAGGTAGAATAGCATTTGCAGGTCAAGTAGCTAACCACGTGAACACAGTGTCACAAGTAGTGAACATACTCGGTGATGAGAACCAAGCCTCGAGTTACCTCAGCAAATGCATTTACTCGATCGGATTAGGAAGTAACGATTATCTCAACAACTACTTCATGCCTACTTTTTACTCTACCGGTAACCAATTCACGCCTGAATCCTTTGGCGACGATCTCATTGCCCGTTACACCGAGCAACTCCGGGTCCGTACACTCTTTAAGTTCTTATATTCTCTGTTTCTTTAGAATTCCTCTGTTTCTTTAGTTTTCCTCTGTTTCTTTAGTATTCCCCTGTTTTTAGTGTTTACTCTGTTTTTGGTGCCTCTGAGTGAGACTGAAGGTTTCGATTGTGATGGAGCAGATATTGTATAACAATGGAGCGAGGAAGTTTGCGTTAGTTGGAGTTGGTGCGATCGGTTGCAGCCCGAACGAGCTAGCTCAAAACAGTAGAGACGGGACAACATGTGACGAAAGGATCAATTCAGCGAACAGAATCTTCAACAGCAAGCTCATAACTATAGTCGACCAATTTAACCAAAACACTCCTGACGCCAAATTCACTTACATCAACGCATATGGCATCTTCCAAGATATCGTTGCAAACCCTGCTCGTTACGGTAAAGCATCAGTCTTCAAAACTGTGATCGATAAAAAGCAGTAATCTTTCATGATGATTTGCTTAAAGATTTGATTTTTTTTTTTTTTTTTTTGGTTTGCAGGGTTTAGAGTGACAAATGCAGGATGTTGTGGAGTTGGGAGGAACAATGGACAGATAACTTGTCTTCCTGGTCAAGCTCCATGTTTGAATAGGAATGAGTATGTGTTTTGGGATGCTTTTCATCCCGGTGAAGCTGCGAATATTATTATTGGAAGAAGATCGTTTAGGCGAGAAGCTGCTTCTGATGCTCATCCTTATGATATTCAGCAACTAGCAACTCTCTAAAGAGAGAGAAAGAGAAGGAGAAAGACAAAAAGAAACTTGTTTCTTTTGTTTGTTTGTTTTGATAGTTCCTCAATGGTAAACTGAGTTTGGACTCATGAAGAAAGTGTGATGTCAAATTTGGGTTTTGTTGTGTGTGGTGTGATAATGTGTTTATGTAATGATTTGGAGTTACTGTTTAATCTCTTTTGTTAAACTCTTTTATAAATTTGATTCTTTCAATTTAAATGTATTAGTCTTTTGCCCCATATGTTAAGACATAAGAAGGTGAAACCAAAGAAAAAAAAACTAAAATCAAGAATGGGATATATCAGACTAAAGAGAATGGACAGTGAGTTTCCTTTTGAATCACCAAAAAGGTTTAGAAAATGGAATCTGAAACTTGATTTGATATAATCAAAGGAGCAATAGATGAGATGAAACTAAGATTCTATTCCTATTGTTAACTCCCCTCATTTGCTCATATTGAACCTCTAATCTTGAAAATGGGCTAAAAACGAGGCCCAATTTTGTGTGGTTCCTTTGCTTGCCAGCAAGGATGACTGATAATCCAAAGATGCCATTCTTACACTTATTATTATCTCCTTCAGAAAAAAATTTGGATAGAGAAGAGAATGAGCTCCTTGGGATTTTCTGTTGGGACATGTTCTCCTCCGATTGAGCAAAGAAAATGCAGAGTTCTTCTGAGTAATAGCTTAAGCAAAGGAGAAGCTATTAACTTGAGAAGCAAACAAAAAGTTTCTGATCCTGAGTTAAGTCTTGTTCAATCAGCTTCATGTGGTAGAAGAGAAACAATTATTGGTTTTGGTTTCTGTATTGGCTTTGTTGATAATGTTTCAGCATTAGCAGAAACAAGTTCTGTTGAGTTCACTGTATCTCCTTCTGGTCTTGCTTTTTGTGATAAAGTTGTTGGATATGGTCCTGCAGCTGTCAAAGGGCAGCTAATTAAGGTTATTAGTACATCTTAAATTACATTTAAATTAGTTTTGTGTGTTCTTTACGATGTTAGATAATTTTTTTGAATAATTTTGTGCAGGCACATTATGTAGGGAGGTTGGAGAATGGGAAAGTATTTGATAGTAGCTATAACAGAGGAAAGCCTCTAACTTTCCGAATAGGTGTTGGTGAGGTAATTTAGGATAAGCAATTGTTATGCTAAAACCCTTTTTTAAAAACATTATTCGAGATTCAGATAAACTTAAATAAGTACAATATATGAGTTTATGGCAGGTGATTAAAGGTTGGGACCAGGGAATCCTTGGCTCTGATGGAATTCCTCCTATGCTTACCGGTAATCTCAATATCTAATTCATTCATAGTTTTGCTAAAACCGATACTTTTATTTGATAGTATGTTCTAAAATACGATATAGCACCTAGCTCTAACATGGATATTTACGCGGAGTATATAAGGTGGAAAAGTTTTGTTAACAAATATATATGATATAGTTCACAAGTTAATATAAACCTTACAAATGAGTAAACTTTATTTTCAATAGTAACATTGTTATGTTTTATCATGATCTTGCTCTAACTAATTAGTTTTGTTTGGTTTGTTTCTTAAGGTGGGAAACGAACATTGAAAATTCCTCCAGAACTCGCGTATGGTGATCGGGGCGCAGGTTGCAAAGGAGGTAAAAGGAAATGCTAAAATAGCGAAAACCTTTCTTAATTATATAGATTACGAAATCTTATAGAATTGGTTTTCATTAGATAATTAATTAATTAACGAATCCTAAACTTGTTTTGCGCAGGCTCATGCCTAATACCTCCAGCTTCGGTTCTTCTCTTTGACATTGAGTTCATAGGTAAAGCTTGAGAGAGTATTTGCTTCATGCTTTTCCTTTTCCCAAGCAATTCGAATCATCTTTATAGAAACAATATTTTGAGTAATCAACTTTTTTGCCGCGATGTAATCATGTGAATTTCTCTGGCTCTTTTTAACTTACTTTGGTTCATGTACGTTTGCTTACAGAAATTGAAAATCTCAATAAAACAAGTAAAACCGGAATATAAATCAACTCGTCTTGAAAATTGCCAGGGACATCTTAAATAATTACTGAAGCCTAGTACATTACATATATGTTTCAAGAAAGAAAAAAACCCATAAACATAAGAACCCATATTTTCATCACTTTGTAGCACTACATATACAAACACAAGGATATCATTATTTAAAACTAACGGTCCACACATTGGCAAAAGCACGAACATTATGGTATCGTTCGTTACACACGAAATTTACTAAGGGAACGGAGCACATTTCTTCATATCCGTCTCGGTTATATCGAGCGCTAAACCTTTTCCGTGATGAACCCAATAATCAGCCATCGGATTTTTCCTCTCCAGTCCCACAATACCACCTCGAGACGCTTTCAAAGATTCTGTCGAGATCCCATATTCATCGTCACGTTTCTTCAATAGCCCTGGCTTGATCTTACCCATGTTCACGTCTTGTGGTGACATCATTAGTGCTGGTGCACCTAATGGCAACTTATCCCCTGAATTTATCCACACACATAAAAAAAAAAGGAACTCATCATATTGTAAATATTAATTGGGCCAATTTCATTCCAAACAAAAAAAAATAAAAATTCAGGTCTACAGAATTTATTTCTATGAGATCGATAGAATCTCTATTTGTCATAACAACTTACAGAATGATTCATGATTTTTATCTGTTAGAATTTTTGAGTTTTTTTTTTTTTTTACGATTATACGAGTTTCCTGCTTGTCATACCAAATTATGAAGTACAAGCGTAATAAAAGAAAATGTAATTAAATTACCCCGATCGGTCTGCCAAGTGCACCAAAACTTTCCATAAGTTTTGGCAATATTTCGAAGCTCAGGCTTAGCTACAAGCTCAGGGACCCTTGGAATTACTAGAAGACCTGTTTGAATCTACAGTAAGAACAAATTAAGTCAAGCTTTTGTTTCTTAATTTCTCCAAAGACAAACCAACATCAACTAACATTTAAAGTTATTATAATCATGTAAGAATATCAGAAAGCTTATAGAGAAGTAGTTAATTAACCTCATAGTCATGAGAGTGCCAAAGCTTTTGCTCTTCCGAGGAGAGAGTATCAAATAACCTCTCGGACACAATATACTCGATCCCTGAGATATTTAATTAATCACAACAAACACATGAAAAAGCGTAATAATTAGTCATATTTCTTCAAACATTATACGCATGCACGTGTACGTGTACGTACACTCAAATTATCTCTTGCTAATGCTAAATTAATTCGCATGCATTAATCCGCATAGAACCATGCATCATATGAACGTGTAGGTAAATACGATCAACTTCAATAATTATTTTGTCTATTGTTAATATATTGGAGAAAATATAAATATGATGATAATGAGTTACAAAATACATACCGATGAGGTGGGTTTTAGAGGAGTCACAGTCGTAAACAGCACATTGAAGAAAGTCTTCGTTGACTCGATGAGCATAGAAATGAACTTCGATTTGACGGCTAGGATCGTGACCATAACAAGCGAATGAACACAAATGAAGACTCATCTGTTTGATTGGTTTCAAAGATTGCATCATCGCAGCTCCTTTGTCCATCATCATCGACTTCAACGTCGTCGGATCTCCCGGAGGTAAGGTTTCTCCTCCGTCACGTGCCGGATACGCTCCCGGACGCTCATCGCTTGACGCCATTATTGATAAGTCAAAAACGACAACGGTTTGTTTCTTGTATATACAAATTTTTATGTAGCTCTCTCTTCTCGGTTTTATGGTGATGGAATATGAGTGTACATGTGTGTTGGTGTCATGTTTGCATGAGGAGAATGTGATGTGGACAACTTGAGAGGGACACGTCATTGGAGTTTAGCGATGACGTGGCGAGAAATGGCGGGCTTTGAGATTGTAAGATGAAATGGGGATGACTCTATGGACACTTGGCATTTTTGATTCGATTATGACTTATCTGTTTTAACATGAAATGCTCTAATTGAACTCAATATCAAATTTCGGTATGTTATCATTTTTTTTATGTGAATATCCAGGTTTTACAATTGAGAATGGCTAGTTCTTGAACTATGGTTTGACCAATTTAATCCAGAACTTAAGATTCTATGTCAAGTCAACTTTTATGTCAATTTTGACAACCAAAGAACATAAACATAAATAGAGTTTTAGAAGATCTACTTATATAGTTTATTTACTTGTTTTAATATAATAATTTTGACTTATTACACGAAACAATGCTAATACCCAACTATCAGACACAATTTCTGGTTTTAAAAAAATTACGTAGTTAGGAATCATATAAAATATTAACACCATTCGAAGAGCTGGTAAGTAAGTTTGGTCTACGAAAAAATTATAATATATATATATATATATTTTTTGTTAAAAAAAATTATATTATATATATATTATATATATATTATATATATTATATATATATTATATATATAAGTTGTGTATATTAACATCGTTTTATCGATTGTTTTAAGAAAAATATTGGCCGTCGAACAGAAAAAGAAAATTTTTGATTTCTTAGCATATATAAACATATTACACGTATACTGTATACATTCTCTACAATGTTTGAATACTTTTTGTTCGTAGCATATTTGATCATTTGAATTAGAGTGTATACCAAACTTTCCAGTATTTTAAATTTACCACTAATGGAATATTCATTGTCTATTCTCTACTAAGTCTATATATATTTTTCCTTAATTTGGGACATGAATCGACGACAGATTAATATAGAATTCTCAACGGTAATAATACAACGTAAACACCGTGTGTAGGTCCAAAGTTGAAAAAACGCTGCTTTCCGAATCTAGCTTCGTTTCCCGACCCTAAAAAAAACCACATTACCGTTACACCGAGCCTAATTTAAATACCAAACCATCACTCACTCTCTCTCTCAAACTCATTTCTCTCTCAAATCTCTGTTTCTCTTCAATGGCGACGAAACTCATAATCAAGAAATCAACAAAATCAATCAACCGTCACCAACGAAACTACCTTCTCCGTCACCGGAAAACCCAAATCGGATGCACACCATCTCCGGCGACGACCACCGTAATCGCCTCCATCAACAAATCGATCTACAAATGTCACCGAAGCATCCTCTGCTTATTTTCCCGCCTCGAATACCGTCCCAGAACCAAAGGATTCAAAATCCTCAAAACCCGATCCGATTCCGATTCCATTTCCAAACCGGCCGGTTATCGAGCTCCGTACTCGCTAATCCACGACAGATCCGGTAAATCATTCGACGAGACGAAGAAGACGATCGTTCTAGATCTAGACGAGACGCTTATCCACTCGCAATTGGAGAAACCCGATGTACCGTACGATTTCGTCGTGAGGCCCAGAATCGACGGTCAGATCTTAACCTTCTTCGTGATCAAACGGCCAGGAGTCGACGATTTCTTGAAGAAGATCGGAGAAAAGTACCAGATCGTCGTTTTCACGGCGGGTTTGAGAGAATACGCATCGCTCGTGCTCGATAAATTGGATCCGGAGCGGCGCGTGATATCGCGAAGCTTTTACAGAGACGCGTGTAGCGAGATCGATGGGAGGTTAGTGAAGGATTTAGGGTTTGTGACGAAGGATTTGAGGCGCGTGGTGATTGTTGACGATAATCCAAACGCTTACGCGCTTCAACCGGAGAACGCGTTTCCGATTAAACCGTTTTCTGATGATTTGAATGATATTGAGCTGAAGAAGCTTGGTGCGTTTTTGAATGGTGATTGTGATAAGTTTGAAGATATGAGAGTTGCTTTGAAAGAGTTCGTTGGAAAAGATGAATGATTTTTTTTTTGGGGGGTTAATTTATGAGTTTTGATTAGTTGATTTTGATTATATTTTGTATTAGAGGATTGATTAAAAAGAAGACAGATGAACAATAGCTTGGTTTGTTCAATGTCTTTGTGTAAAATTTCCTCATGAAATGCAATTTGTTTGTATTTGTTTTTTTTGATTAGTGTTTCTCTCTGGGTTTGGATATAATTATCTATAAAAAAACCATTTGTATTATGTAGATGTAGTTAAAATATTATATTTCCTACAAGTACAACAATCAAATTGATAAAATGAACTAACTCCTCAGGATTCAGGAAACATTCAATTGATTTTAGTCTGGAATGTGGTCATTTGGTTATAACACACAAAAATAAGACAAAAAGTTAATTACACATAAAATTATAAGGAGCTCAATTATAGAAATAGGCTTTTTCGTCTAGGGCTTTTTCAAATTTTTGAAATCTTACAGTCTTAAGCATACAAATATTCAACTAAACGGATTAAAGAGTCATTTGTAAGGCCAACGGGAAAATTAGCTATTTGAAGAGAAACTTTCGTTTGAACTATACGATTTTGATTTTGGAGTTGTTTCGTTCGATTATGCTAAAGAATAATTAAGTGTTTTGATGTTTATTTCGCTCAATGTTTTCGGCTTCTTCGCTACAGTTGTCTTTACACTTGAATTGCTTTTTTATTTTTTCTTACTCCTATACATATATTCACTATTATTACGTTGTGGAATGTTTTTACAAAGACAATGTTTTCTTCCCATTTTATTCAGCCAAATTTTCTGGATGTTTTTTTTAGTCAATCTAATTGGTGCCTTTTTAGTGGGATCAATTGAGATGACTCATTCCACCCATTTTTATCCCACATTTTGCTCATCGAGTTACGGCCTAAATATAACCAAAATCGTGAACTCACATGCATACGTGAACAAAGACTATATAAACCCTAGATTGGCACAAGGTTCCATACAGCACAACACGTACAACATCTAAAGATTAACCATGAAGTTTTATGGACTCGCCATAGTTTTTCTATTAGCGGTTGCGACGACTTGCAAAGCTGATGATGAAATTACTTGCGAAGAGAACGAGCCATTCACATGTAGCAACACTGATCGATTTAACAGTAAAAGTTTTGGAAAAGACTTCATCTTCGGTGTTGCATCTTCTGCTTACCAGGCATTTAGCAAAATCACACATGCATTATTGTGTTACCATACCTCACTGTTGACGTATGAATAAAAACCCATTCAAAAACACTACAATCTAACGTTGCATGGTTGTTTCTTTTCATTTCAGATCGAAGGAGGCAGAGGTCGTGGTGTTAACGTTTGGGATGCATTCAGTCACCGATATCCAGGCATGTCGTTTGCATGGTTACATATATATGAGAGGACTAAAGAAAAATGTCGGTTATATGTATATGTATTTGTAATTATTATCAGAGAAAGCCGGAAAAGATTTGGCGAATGGAGACACTACTTGTGAGTCATATACGAGATGGCAGGTTAATCACCCTCAGTATATATATATACTCACTGAATTATCTATCTAACTACATGTGGATTGACATACGATTGTATACGTAAAATGCAGAAAGATATAGACGTTATGGACGAACTCAATGCTAATGGCTACAGATTCTCCTTTGCGTGGTCAAGAATCATTCCAAGTATGTACACATTTTATCAAAACCCATGTATATATGTTGTTTTATTCGATTGTGATTGTTTAAAAGAGCAAATATACATGAGCAGAAGGGAAGGTGAGTAGGGGAGTGAATAAAGGAGGTCTTGAATACTACCATAAACTCATAGATGGCCTCATCGCAAAGAAGATAACACCTTTCGTTACCCTTTTCCACTGGGACCTTCCTCAAACACTGCAAGATGAGTATGAAGGTTTCTTGGACCGCACGATCATGTATGTTACTTGTGCGCCATGCCATGCTTCTTATTATGGAGAGTGTTAAAAGAAAAAGAAAGAAACATGTATAGATTTGATCTAGTTACATACATTAATGAAATGATTCTATAATATATGCGCAGAGATGATTTCAGAGATTACGCAGATCTATGTTTCAAGGAATTTGGTGGGAAGGTAAAGAACTGGATCACAATCAACCAGCTGTACACAGTGCCTACGAGAGGCTATGCAATCGGAACAGATGCACCAGGTCGATGTTCTCCTGCGGTTGATGAGAGATGTTACGAAGGAAACTCTTCGACAGAACCTTATATCGTTGCACATAACCAGCTTCTTGCTCATGCCGCGGTGGTGGATCTTTACAGGACAAAATATAAGGTGGATCTTTACAGAACTCTAATTAACTACATGTCTGATACTAACTATATATCGTGACCACATGCAGTTCCAAGGAGGGAAGATCGGACCTGTGATGATAACTAGATGGTTTCTTCCATTTGATGAGACAGATAAGGCCAGCATAGATGCAACTGAGAGGATGAAAGAATTCTTCTTTGGATGGTACATATATTATATATATATATATATATATATCCAAAAACGTAACATTATTGATAGATGTTGTATATATAAACCAACTAATGAAAAAATGTATGTACATGGATCAGGTTCATGGAGCCTCTAACAAAAGGTAGATATCCAGACATAATGAGGCAAATTGTGGGAAGTCGACTTCCCAACTTCACGGAAGCAGAAGCCAAACTCGTAAAGGGTTCATATGATTTTCTTGGTCTCAACTATTACGTCACTCAATACGCTCAGCCAAGTAATAACATAGTTCCTCCGGAAAAACACACTGCTATGATGGATTCAGGCACAACGCTCACATGTACCACTCTATTTTCACTTAGTTACAACTTACAACTTTTCTATATTTATAATATATACTTTGTTAGTGACCATAAGATATTTCAACTTTGTGTTTGCAGATAAAAATGCACGTGGTGAACTAATTGGTCCACTGGTATATGCATGTTCCATCACTATTCTTTTTGATTCATTTTGTCTAAACCAAATAGTAATATCCGAATAATCTTCTGATTTATATTTGCTTCCCTTTCTAAGTTCTCTAAGGAAGAAGACGAAACCAAAAACAGCTATTACTACCCAAAAGGCATTTATTACGTAATGGACCACTTCAAAACCAGATACGGTGACCCTTTAATCTATGTCACCGAGAACGGTTAGTAGTACCACGTACTACATGCATGCTAAGTGACTAAGTGTATTTCAAAATTTGGTCCAAGAAATTGACTCAAATATTTGTTCATGTACTAATGACGGTTTAATTAGGAATTAGTACCCCCGGTGAAGAAACCCGTGAGGAGGCTGTTGCCGATTCAAAGCGGATTGATTATCTTTGCAGCCATCTATGTTTTCTCCGTAAGGTCATCAAGTGAGTGGATGCTAGCTACTAATACTCTTTTTATATGCATACATACATGTATGATATTCATCATCAAATCGTACGTACGTCTTTAATGCATGATTGTTCTTGTTTTCAGGGAGAAGCGTGTCAACGTGAAAGGATACTTTGCATGGTCTCTTGGAGATAATTATGAATTTTGCAAAGGTTTTACCGTCAGATTCGGACTCAGTTATGTTAATTGGGGAGACCTTGATGATAGAAACCTCAAAGATTCTGGCAAATGGTTCCAGAAGTTCATTAACGTTAATTCTCCTGCCCAAGAAGACTTCCTCCGCTCAAGTATCTCATCTCAGAATAAGAAGCTCGCAGATGCATGAACCTCTTTTTCCCCATCAACATGTCCAGCTCACTCTTTCTGCTTGCTCCATGGATGATAAGACCGTCATTATTCCTAAAACTCCATTAAGGGTTCTTATGTGTTTTTTATTATTAAGTATGGAATAAAAATCCACTTTAAGAAACTCATTACTTTTAATGGTGCATTGGTAAAACTTTCATAAAGTTTCTTAAAGAATAAAAATATTTAAAAAAATAAATTTGAAACAAAGATTAATTTGAAGCAAACCGGTACCCTTGAATCTCTCTTCCATCAATCCATCGATTCCAGCAGCCATCTCCGGAGTCAAGTAATTGCTCCAATCTCTGACCTTTCCCTTTCTGAAGTATGCACTTTTCGGATAAAAGCTAGAAGGAAATGCCTTCTATGTGTTTCTTAAGCGTCTCGAAACTGCAAAGATTCACAACTTTCTCAACAGCTTCTTCCTTCTCTTCCTCAGCTGTGAATCCACATCCCATAAACTCTGCTAATCTCTTCACATACGGCAAAGGATCAGCTCTCATCTTCTCGTACTTGAGGAACATGGTCTGATCTGGATTCTCTTGGTAAGCTTTCCAATACGACAAGACATGATCCAAGAAAGGACTGTACATAGACAAACCTCGGCAAAACATAGCAAAAGACTCCTCAAGAGTATTAAGAGGGCCATTGTCTTTTGGAAGAGGCTGCACTATCCAATTACCACCGTACTTTAAGCGAACATGAAACATTAAGATCAACTCATTTCCGATCAAAGAGAATGATAGAAACCATAAATCAAACTTGTTATCATTGTCTATTACAATGATCTATTCATATTATCAATCACTAAAATCATTCAGAACACATCAACAAATCCTCCATCCGTAAACAAGTTCAAGATATATATAGAACATAAATCAAAATTGAAACCGATGAGAACCGTAAACTAATTCAGATGAGAATCCTCCATCCCTAAACTAATTCAAATGAGAATCCTCCATCCCTAAACTAATTCAAATGCTCCAATTAAGCAAATCAAGGGAAGAAATCGAACCAAACTCTAAAAAAAAAGAAGAAATAACAGAGATTTATCTTATCGGTGAAATCGATGGATATGCAGAGACCTCCGACATGTCGGTTTCACCAAAAAAGAACCGACGATGCTTCGCCATAACGGACCGGAGGTGACGACTATGGCGACTGATTTCTGGTCGGAGATATCGACGAGAGAAATTTTCTTCGGGCAAAAAAAATTGCAGAACACAAAATGGTCGATGAAGAGTCGACCCAGGAAGAAAAAAATCGCTGATGTTTTTACACCAATGCTCGTGACAGCTGTCCATGAACAACCGATTCTTCAGACCCCAAAATAAGAAACGGTTTTTCTAATTTTAAGCCATAAAATATTTTTTTTTTTTAAAAAAGACTTAAGAAACCTAATGAAGATCTCCCGAAGGCCGTGTTTCTTTTGTTTATCCCGATGCTCCATCCAGATTCAACATCCAAATTAAATTAGATTTTGCATGCTGAGTTTCGCTATAAATTGTCCTTTTTTGAATTTGTAAAAAAGAAAAAATTGGATACAAAATGTATCAAATGACAAAAAGATGCTTTAAAAAAAGTTTCATCTATAATTGAATTAGTTTTAGAATGCAATCATTTTTTTAAAAAAATCATTTCATAGTAAATTATTTATCAAGTTTAGTTATACAATTCTAAGAGAAATCATGTTTTCTCGGGAAAAATAGATTTCATGTTTTAATGGAAAAAAGTGATTTATGTATATTTGATAAAAAAATCAAGATTTATATGGTTTTGGCAGAGAATAAGATTCTGAATTTTTAGTGAGTATTTGACTGTTTTGACAGGAATATGTGTTTTTCTTTTTAAAAAACTTGATTTTACAGTTTTAACGGAAACATGATTTGTGGTTTTAGGCTTTTAGCGAGAAAATTAGATTCTACATTTTTGAGGCTAGTTTCTTGCATGAGTAAAGGGCCTGATAAAACAATTCTCTCATGAATATCTTCTAAGGCTTAATGAACATTCTTCTAACTAGTTGAGACTTTCTCGTTGGCAAGAAACTAGCGTCGACATGGTCGCTCCCTTCACACTATGCAGCTTGTTAATTTCATTGAAACCTCGAAACAATTGATTACCATTCGCTCGTTGGATGCTGACAATTAAAATCAAAGATTAAAAAAAAAAGAGCTCACATCCTATCTCCATTTTGAGAGTTCACTACAAAAATTTTGTTTTCTAATAATTTTTTTTGACAAAAAAAATTTAAAACATTTCTCATTTGTGCATATCATAGACAGTGCCGTGTCTAGATTTTTAGAAGTCTAAGGCGAACTTTGTATTTGTTTTCGCCATATATTTTTTATAAATTTTATTTATTAACAGTAATTTAAAAATCTTATTTCACAAAATTATAACTTTAAAACATTTTTTTAATGTACTTAAAGTCATTTATTTCATTTTACATGTGTATTTGTAATATGATATATAACTCTTTAAATGTAAAAGCTTATGATTTTTAGTTCAAAAGAAATTATGAAAACATACAATTTTGTTTAGAAACTTTCCTAGAATTATTAATCCTACAACTTAATCATACAATTTATCTACTAATAATGATTAAACAAAACATAAAATTAATTCAAACTACTAGATCATCTATTCATATAATTTATATAGCCTTCAAGTTTAGAAATTTTGTTAGTGGCCTAAGGCAAATACTTTTTTTTGAACAAGGGAAGACACTGCTCTGATCATAAAATACGTATGGATCATGCTAATCTTGGTTCCAATTTTATCAGATTTTCTCGAAGGAACAACATTTTCTAATATGGTTTTCAATATTCTTCAAACTTCAAAATACGACACATCCTATTGTAAAAAGTCTTTTTATTGAATAAAAATTAAATTTAAAAAAAAGAAGTACGATGCTATTCAAGACGCAAAGAAGCAATGTCAAGTGTGCATTCTTCCTATCGATTCTCATGATATTTACAACTGTTTACATTCCATTACAACATCTTATAACGATCTCTATAAGAATTTTTGCAAAAGATGCAAGAATATATATGATCAGTATTTAAATTTAACCAAAATTAGTATATGGTAGTAAGTTTGATAAAAAATAAATATGGTGATAAGTAATCACTTTTTTTGTCATGTTCAATTAGTAATATAAACATATTTGTTAATGGAGAGAGATTTCTCGTTGATAAATTGTTTTTTATTTATAAATATTGAAGATAGAGAGAAGAAGAATAAAAAAGAGACTGATAATAAAAATAAGACCACCAAACCCGTCGAGTTGTTGTGTTGCCATTTCATATAGCCAAAGGCAAAGCAAAGCCTCTCAAATCCTCAAAAATTCGAATTCCCCTTTTGCTTTACGTTCTTCTCTCTTCGTCTTTCTCCGAAATTTTGTTCCTTTAATCTCAAGAATCTGTCCTTAATCTTCAATCAATCAAATAGGCTTTTCAAGGTTTGCTCCCTATCGGGATCGGGTCTATCTTCTCCAATTATCTGGTACGTTTGATCAAAATTCCGCATCAGGAACATGAGAGGACAAGAACATCAACTCATTTGGTGTTCGAATTGTTGATTGGTTCTGTCTGTTTTGTAATTACCGGAATCAAAAAGTGTGGATTAGATAAGAAACAGGGTTTAATCGAATTCTTCTATGTTGCTTTTCATTTCGATTTTGGCTTAATCAGGGGTTTTGCGTTAAGGGTTTTTGTGGATTCATTTGAAGAATCGTTTTTAAGTTAATTTCGAAGCTTATAAGGGAAATTCCTTGGTTTTTTTTTTATTCTGAATTATGTGTGTTTCTTAAATCTTGAGAGATCCAGTTTTATCGAATCCTAAAATGGAATTGTTGAATTAAAAGCTTTTTTCTTTTGACTTGATTGCATTTTGGAATTGAGATCGTATGGTTTTTTTATTCAGGTTTGGTCACAACTTTCAGAGATTTTTTTGATATGGATGAAAACAGTGGAGGTTCAAGCTCACTTCCACCTTTCCTTACAAAAACATATGAAATGGTAGATGACTCTTCCTCTGATTCAATCGTTTCTTGGAGCGATAACAACAAAAGCTTCATCGTCAAGAACCCAGCAGATTTTTCCAGAGACCTTCTTCCAAGATTCTTCAAACACAAGAATTTCTCCAGTTTCATCCGCCAGCTTAACACATATGTAAAGTTCCTGACTTTTCGTATAGTTTTGTGTGCTTTAGTTAATGAACTAACATTTCGTGTTTTGTTTGTTGTATAGGGTTTCAGAAAAATCGATCCTGAGAAATGGGAATTCGCAAATGATGACTTTGTTAGAGGCCAACCTTACCTTATGAAGAATATACATAGACGAAAACCGGTTCACAGCCACTCGTTACAGAACCTACAAGCGCAGAATCCTTTGACGGAATCAGAAAGACAGAGCATGAAGGATCAAATCGAGAGACTGAGAAAGGAGAACGAAGTTCTTCTCGCGGATTTACAGAACCAAGAGCAAGAACGGAAAGTCTTTGAGCTGCAAGTAGCCACATTGAAAGAGCGGTTACAGAACATGGAGCATCGTCAGAAATCGATCGTATCATATGTTTCACAGGTTTTGGAAAAACCAGGACTTTCTCTGAATCTCGAAACCCATGAGAGAAGAAAAAGAAAATCACAAGAGACTACTTCTCTTCTTCCTCCAAGCCGGTCAAACGCAGAGCAGGTCGAGAAGTTGGAGTCTTCTTTAACGTTTTTGGAGAATCTTGTGACAGAATCATGCGATAAGAGTGGTGTGCATTCATCAAGCATGGATCTTGATGTGAATGAGTCAACTAGTTGTGGCGAGACCAGACCCAAATCAACAAAGATTGATATGAACTCAGAGCCAGTTACCGTGGCTGCTCCAAAGACAGGAGTTAACGATGTCTTTTGGGAACAGTGTCTGACAGAGAATCCGGGATCGATCGAACAACAGGAAGTTCAGTCAGAGAGAAGAGATGTCGAAGCGAGAAATGGCGGTAATAAGATTGGAGATGGAAGGACGTTTTGGTGGAATTCGAGGAATGTAAATAACAACATTACAGAGAGAGCTTTGATATGAAGCGCTTGTAAAATAGTGAGTGAGATCTTTTGTCTTGTGGTTCATCGTTTACTCTGTTTCTGTAAAAGCTATTGTTTTGAGACAAGAGTAAGATTGATGAATATATAGGCATTGGCTCTAAATTGATTTTTTTTCTTCATAATCTTACCCAAAAAAAACTTTTTTTTTTTAATGTTTTAGACTTTTAGTCACCGAGTTTGGGAAAAGAAGAATAACATTCCAGAAAAAAAAAACTCCGATGCCGGGAATCGAACCCGGGTCTCCTGGGTGAAAGCCAGATATCCTAACCGCTGGACGACATCGGATTTGATGTTCGGTATTGTTATATTAAATATATATTGAATCTGTTACAATTCAATGAATTAGATCATTTTAGTTAAGTTAGTTTTTTTTTTGTCGTCAAAAACAAATCGTTATTTGGTAAGTTGTTAGTTGCAAATTATAAAAGTTTGAGATCAAAAAACATAAGTTGAAATTAGGGAAGATAAAACTCAAACAGAAGAAACAAACGGAAACTAAAACTACAATGAAAGGATGAAAAAAGATACTCAAACTTAAACTAAGGTCTTTATTTAAAAAATTATATAGCTACAAAGATTACATTAAAAATCTGCCTATAATCAAAGAAGAAAAAAAAAAATTAAAAACTCGCTATCTAGAAGGAGATTTCGTTGATAAATAATTCCCACACGAGACAAGCTTCAACAACGAATGTAATCGTACCCTTCTCGTTCTCACCTTCAATCGCCAAAGCTACAATTTAAAAGTTTTCATTAAGATCCAATCGTTTTTCCTAAAGATGAAAACTTTCGTGTAGAAAATGAAAGGTTTTGTTTTGTTTTTTTTTTTGTTTTACCTTGCGACGTACGCTTCTTGACGCTTTCCAACATATCAAGCTTCTTGATCTAGATTCAAGTCTCCTGCACAAAAATGAAACGACTTATCAAAAACAAAAACAAAAATATTAAGAAACCAAATCGAAGTAACAAGTTTTCGGTTTAAATATTCTTACAGATTCTCATGTTCAAGCTTCTCTGCAATCGACACAGCTTTGCGTTTTGACCAACTGTTTCCTTCACCTTGTTTAATCACTTGAGCCAACGAGACTTTTCCTCTCACAATGCTCTGGTTCTGCTGGTTCTGGTTTCGGTTTTGGCTAGCTTCCAAGTGTTTCCTCCTAGCTCGAGTCATTACAGATTCAGATTCATCACCCACTTCAACGATTTCGCTCTCAAAATTGTTTCTTGTGTCTTTCTTTGACTCAGTTCTGATCTCAAGAGCGACCGGAGATCCAAGAACCGCTTCAAACGCTCTCACAATATGCTCTTCGAAATTCTCAGCCGTTGATTTCGCTAACGGCGAATTCAACATCAACTGCACCGTAGGAGCTGCAACACACTAACAAAGTTTTAGAATCTATTCATCGACATAGAAAAAAGCTTTCTTTGATATGAAATGCTTGCTCTTACCTGAACCAATACTAATCGAAAAGATCTTGCCTTCTCTATAAAGAAACTCTCTTAAACCATCAACACGAACTTTATCTAGAACCGCTAACCAAATATCTTCAACGGAAGGTCGGTTCTTGCTACTAAAACCTTGACCACCACGATCCATTAACGGGCTAGAACTAGGCTGAAGCATGTATCGTTGATCAGGAGCTAGCTGGAGCAACGCAGCAGTGAGCCAAGTTAGTTTATCGTTTGATACTCTCAACTGTTTCTCTGATTCGGACAGCGTTTTTAAAGCTTGTCTCAGCTTCTCCATATCTTTTCTAGACACTACAACAAAAACAAAGAAAACAGTTAGTTATTACAGTTACAAGTATCTCTCGTTTAGTATATGTAAGGAATGTTTGAAAACTCACGTGGTTGTTGCCGGAAAAACTTTCTTTTATGTTGATCTTTAGCTAAATCATAGCTTCCGGCGAGGATATCTGTTATGATGGTTGCAAGCTGTGACATTAAAGCTAATGGTTCTACTCCGGTTTCCATTATTGTTCTCAGATTCTTCACTGTGTTCACAGTATCCGCAGATAAGGCCAGATCAAGAAGATCAACTAATTTCTCATCAGAGACTAACCCAACCTGAAAAATTCAATCACAATGAGTTCACAAAAAGAGAACTCAATGGAAATTATACAAAAGTTTTGATCTTTACCATTTCTTGAACTAAAGGAACAGAGATTCTTGTTCCAAGCAAACTCAGCTGTTCTAAAGTCATCTCTGCATCTCTCAAAGAACCATCTGATCTCGAAGCAACAAGCTTCAAAGCATCTTTATCGATATCAATCTCTTCCCTCGACGCAATCCGTTGCAAAGAGTCGACGATATCTGCATCTTTAAGCTTAGGGAAAAAGAATTTCTGGCACCTCGAGACTATAATGTGAGGCAAAACATCAAGAACAGAGCAGACAAGAACGAAGACCACGCGAGGAGGAGCTCGGTCCACAATCTTCGAAAGCGCATTCCAACAATCCGTTGACATGGTATCGCAATCATCGAATATGAACACAAGGTGCTGCCTTTTCTGCTGAGAGATCATCATCATATCATCGGAAAGTTTCTCAAAGTCGAAACTTTTCACAGGACCCATCTCTCGAATGTTCCGGTTCTTACCATTATCATAAGAAACACAAGAGCTGCATCTCCCACAAGGCTTTGACTGTTCCATAGAATGGCAATTCAAAGCTCTAGCGAATGTTTTAGCACAAGAGGTTTTTCCGGTTCCGTTTGGACCGTGGAACACATAAAGAAGCCCTACTCTTCGTTTAGCAACAGCGTTAGACAGAGCTTGTACAACCAGATTCTGTCCCACGAGGTCACGGAATGTTCTTGGCACGTACTTCTGCGTAAAGCTTTGGTGTCGTCGAGCGTTTCTATAGCTTCGTTTCTGACCAAAGTCTGAATCTTTACCGTTCTTGAGCAAATCGTCAGCGAATAAACCCAATTCTCCAGAGTAATCATGCTCCCAACCTTCATTGTCTGCACTATCGACTAAAAGGGGCAGATCAGATTTGGTGAAAGAGGAGCTTGAATCAGAGAGCATTGGCATATCGGTTTCTCCTTTCTTTCCTTTTGAATCAGACATTCCACAAGATAAACTCCGACCAGCTATATCGAGGAATGTTTTGCCTCTATGATGAATTCTCGACCAATTAAACGGAATTCCACAACCGTTGTTTCTTGGATCACCTCTAGTCATGTTCTGTTCTCTATACCCTCCTTCTTCTTCTTCTTCCTTATACTTCTCACCAACATTATCTCTAACATCACTTGCCCTTCCTGCTCTCCTTGTTCCTCTAAATTTCCGCCTTTTACGACCATTACCACGCGCTTGAGCATTACAAGAAACTAAACCATCAGTATCACCTAAAACCTCGTTTAGCTGATCAGACAGAGTCTTGGCAATAGCCTTAGCCTTGTCTTTCGATCTCGATTTCACTGAAGCAACACTAAAAGCCTCATCTTCGACTCTATAACTCTTCCTACTCGAGCCTTCAAACTTTTCATCAGAAGGAGTGACTTTAGATGTTCCAAAATTCACAATCGGTGACGAACTAGTCAGCCTAAGACCAGATTTCTTAACGACATTCTGATGGTCAACAGATCTTCTTCTTCCTCCTTTCTTATGAACCAAACCTTTCGAATCAGCGATCACAGAAGGCGAATTCGGGCTCGCTGATGGGTCTCTAAGTGATCTTGATCTCTGAAGAACGACGAGATCTCTCATAAGAAGAGACCGGTCATTTAAAACCGGACTCTGTTTGTTGTTGTGCATATGGTTCTTCAAGTGAATACAGTTGGTTAAGTGGATATGGTTACGAAGATGCTCACCGATGTCTCCATTTGCATCTTTCAGAATCCGTGAAGAAGTAACCCTAGTAGTAGTCATGATCAGACGAAATGTTCTGTTCTCTTTGACGGAAATTTGTCGAAGTATCTATAGAAGAACCAAATCGAGGTGTATCTCATTTTCTTGTATGAAGATCTTTGAACTTTCTAAATTTGATAATAACACCCAAAATTTCCCCCAAGAATCACTGAACTTTCCAAAACAATATAAAAAAATTACAGCTTAGAGAAACCGTAATGGTAAAATTATCAAAAAAAAAAAAAATCACAAAATCAAGAGGAGGTAAATGAAGAATGAATTGGAAACTGAAGGACTTATTTGAGCAAACCAAGAAAAAGTGAATTTTTCGAGCTCTGTGCGTTGAAAACCACTTCAAAGTAGAAAATAAGAAATCAAAACTAAACCCAGAATGCTATGATAGTCTTCAAAAGCTCTGTTACTTTGGTACAAAAGATTCAAACTTTTCTACTGAGACCAAAACCAAAAAAAAAAAACCTGAAGGGTTCGTTTCAAAGAAAGAAGATAAAGAGAGAGAGAATGAGAGATTGAAAGTAGGAACCCACCACCACAGAGCAATAAACAGCAAAAAAAAGGAAGAAAAAGAACGACACCGTTTCTTGAAAGAAGTCACAGATGTCTCTCTTCCCTCTTTTCTTTAACCAAACTTTCACATGAAGAACCTGAGGGCTTACTCTGGAGAAAGCGATGTGTTTTGGCAGGAAAAAGTAAGAAAAACACTGTTTTCGAGTATATAGAGAGAGAGGTTTTGATGGGTTTTTGTTTTTTTTTTTTTAGATAGAGAAGGAGTGGGAATCTTGAGAGAGAAAGGGAAAAGGTTTTTGAGATCTGGTTTACAGACACGAACATAGAGACATTATAGAGAAAACAGAGCACATTGCCAATAAAGCGGTTTGTCCGTTTGCGGGAATTGAACAATCAATAAATAAAAACAATGGTGACAAAGAAATACTCCTACTAGGCTACTACACATTTAAAAACAAAACATTAGATCATCTCTAATAGTTAGCACCCTTAAGGGATATTTAACCATTTTTAAATTAGTATTTTTGAAGTTTTGTTGTTTAAGCACTTCTCCTAATATGTTATTTTTTTTCAGGGTCCAATGGGAGGTGTTAAAAAAAAAGTGCTTAAGAACTTCTTTTTTTTAGTTTGAATTTGTGTCTTTTTTTTTATCTTTCTTGTTGTTGTGTCTTCTTCTTTGATCGTTCTTTCTGATACCTATTTTCCACTGTCTTCCTAATTTGCAAGCTGATACAATTAAACAAAAATCAACCATAACGCTCTCTTTTTTTATAGTCAACTATCAACTATGATACTCAAAACCCCAAATTGCAGAAAATCCAAAAACAAACATAAAAACCTGATTTAAACAGCACGAAATATCTCGAGAGAAATAGAGGCACCTGTTAATAGCACCGGTGTCGCTTCGAGTGACGAATCAGGCGTAGTCAGTGTTCTCTTGGACGTACTTCAAATCCTTGTCGGAAAACTCAATCTCCTCTTCGGGTACCTCCGGTGGAAGCTGCGGATTATCAAGCTTCCGCAACAGGAACCAATTCCTGCTGAAAGAAGCAAATCCATTCACTATTCAAAAATCAATGTTGTCGAAAATTACAAAAACCCGTAATCAAATTTGATTTCCCAACTAACCAAAACCCTGCTGAGTCTTTGCACTGGTGAGTCTTTGTTTCTGTTGAATCGGCGGAATTAGCTGCTTCGACGAGGGAGGATATCTCTGAACCATCGATCGATAAAGTAAACATCAACCTGGGTTTCTCGCCGGAAAAGCGATGATAACAGAGGATTTCTCACAGGAAAAGATGGGGAATAAGCATGAAGATCAAGCTGGGTAATCTCTCAATCGGCTCTCTCAATCGCCAAAAGAATCGAAGGTCGGCTTTGGAAACAGAAGGAGAAAAACGACTTGGGAAAAAAAATTTGATCGGTGAAAAATAAAGGGAAAAGGTTATCCCGCATGAAAAGAAAAAAAGAAAAAAAAATTAGACCAATGAGAATTGAGCACATTATCGATGCTTAAAGGTGCTTAAGTTGTTAATAGAAGCATCGAAGCTAAGCTTTTTTCCTATTAAAGATTTATTTTTAATCTAACTTTTTGGTTCAGCACCTTTTAAGTACCTTTCATTGGAGCTGCTCTTAGGTTTTTGAAAAAAACGGAGGCCAAAAGGTTCGGACCTACGAATTTAAGCTAAATTTTTGTTCGGAATCTAGAGTTTGAAAAACCATGTTTTTATGGAATCTCTCGCTTTCAATATACAAGAGTGAAACGGGTTCGTTACAGAAAAAAAAAAAGGTGAAATGGGTCAAACACATAATTTGGGCTATTCAATTGAATACTGTATATTTAATTTAACAAGGTTTTAAATTCTAATCAATGTTTCTAAAACACAGCTTTGTGGCTAAAACAGTAGTAACTAGTAATGATAATTTTCCAAATGATGGAAAATAAGAAATTCCTAAGATAAGAAAAACAAGAAATCGGATTAGAATAAGAAAGCAACAAAATATGGATATAAAACTCAGGACTATAATAATTATAGTACGATGGTCAATGTCACCGTCACGTGAGCACGTTAAGTGATGATTAGGTTATTCAACATGGGGGCTTGTTTACCGCAACGTAATTGAAAAATGTATATATATGAAATAAAAAAATGCATATGTCCGGATGTTCCCCTAACTTGAAGATGCATAATTTACCCAGTAAATGGTAAAATAATACAAAACACTAGAACAGTAATAATATCTATCATATCCAAATTTAGTAATGACATTATTTTGTCAAAAGTATTATGACTCTATGAGTTCTTTTTTATCCTTCCTCATCGATTCAAATCACTGTTATTCCTTTTCTATTTCTAATAAGGACAATTATCGTCTTTTTTAGGACCCAAAGATACATATAAAGAACTGTAGTTAAAACCCTTTTACATAAGCAATATCAGTAACCTTAAAATCTACTAAAAACAAAAGAAAACTAATCAAGTAACTTTTTTAATTCAATCATTTCGTTCAACACAAATAAGGTTAGGATCACTCTGGCCTTTGACAGTAATAATAACAGTTAACTATCAGTCATTGATCTAGTAAAAATCAGTGACTACTCAAAGAAACATATATTATTGACTAATTAACTATTGTTATGTACACTGACATGCATATATATATATATATATATATATATATATATATATACTGTAATTGGCTAGTTAATAGCTCCAAAATCCAATGAACAAAAAGACATGGTGACTTGGAGAGATGAAGACCAGTTCTGACACAAACGTTTTTGAGAGTTTTGTGATTCTCGAGAGTTTTTAAAGAAAACAAAAAATGGAAGGAATCATTTTATTTCAAACATTGTGACATATAAATAAAATAAAATAAGCCAAAAACTATACTTTTCTTGTCTCGTTTTATTTTAAATTCCATCCTTTAACTAACAACAGTTGATCAAGCATACGCAAAATTACTTAGAATTTGTCAAATAAGCAAAAAATACTTAGAATTTGTCAAACTCACAAGTGATCAAGAACATTTTGACCAAAAGAGGTTAAAGAAATCCTGACTGTACATCTGTACCACTACCACCACGTATCACCATCTCCCACTTTAGGTTTCAGTAACTATACAGAGAGTGTGTACTACTGATATATCGTTTCTATTGCTAAACGTAAAGAATATGAAAGACTTACTTCAGATTCTAGTCTTCTTGCTTCTACTACTACTCACCAAGCTTTGATTCTTGTTGTCACCGTTCGTAGAGAATTACTGCCCCTGCTCTCGAATCAGATTCGTGGGCTCACTTAGAACATACCTAGGAAGCTCATATCTAGCACCTGCATTGAGCAACAGATAAACCAATAAAGTTAACACAACAAGAAACAGAAAAACACGAATCAAGATCTCGTGAGCAATGTGTTACGCAAACCTCTTTCATCCCAACACAATGTTAGATCAGGGTTCTGGACAATCACGCCTGCACTGTCTATAATCGTTTGTGCTAGCTTCAGGTCAGCTTCAGCAGCAGCACGAAGCGCTTCCCATATCTCTGGTTATTAAGTAATTTACTCAGTTTCCAAATCCTCATAGTGCAATGCAGATTATAACTGGAAGAGATTTATTTATACCTCTTTGACCACCATAGTGTGGAGAAGTGTCCCAAAACTCCTCACGCATGTTCGTAAGCTGTGCCATTGTGATTGGCTCGGTATGCGCCCACGGTTTTGGTTTCCGGATTTTCTTTCTTTTCGCTGTCAACATTTTCACATATAAATCTCATCAAGAGAATGATACAACATAGAAACTAACTACCAATTCTAAGCCATCTTGCATCAGGAAATCATCACAGGTTTCGATTGCAACAAGACAAAAACCCAATAGGAAGCAGAAGAGCAGAATCCGGAGATCTTGTACAGTTTCATAGATAAAAGTTATAAACATTTCAATCACACCATTGACTAACAACTTCTTTCTCTAGATCGTATATATCTACACACATACTCATTATGCGAGACCTGTAAGGTTATAAATGTTCAAGATCACTCTAATTCTGAAGAGTAAGAACAATGTTTCAACATTTGCAATCTAATCCTGCGGATTTGGGACTAACAAGATACGATGTGGTTACAGACTTTAACATTTGCAATCTTTACTAAAATCTCATGCAAGATTACCAAATCCCTAATTAGTTCCTCTTGACATCTCAAAACTAAGGTCTCGGTTCACAAATCTCTCCCAAGAATCACAACATTGTGAGTGAGAACATGAACCCAAACAGCGAACGATACTAAAAATCAGATAGATTAAACGAAAGATTTCCAGAAACTCAAACGAACAAAGAGAGACAAAATCGAGCAAGGAATAAAATCGATTCGACTCACCTCCGCCTTCGTTTCTAGCCTGAGAAGATCCGATGCAACCCATTCTCGAACCGTTGGAGACGGCGTTTGATATGGTAAATTGAATGTCGCTTCGAAAAATTCCAGTACGGAATTGACCGCCGCGATGAGTTTCACGGCGGTTATCGGCGGGAGAGGCGCCGGAGTCCTTCAAAAGTCTTCGTCGTCGTCTATTTTTCTCGTTTTTGACACCGAATTAGTTTGTTAGAGTGAGACCTCTCCAATTTTATACTCACTTTCCTCCACCATTATAAAACGATTAAAGATCAAAAAGACCATAAGGTCCCTACTCTAACAAAGCTGTAGAATTTTACGAATAAAATATATAATTTTATAGAACCTAGCAATCGCGTCTGTAGTCCAACGGTTAGGATAATTGCCTTCCAAGCAATAGACCCGGGTTCGACTCCCGGCAGACGCATATATGTTTTTATCAATCCAAAACTCAAAATTTTTACACTATAAAATTCCGAATTGACGATAGGATAATTCGGAAATGACAAAAATATCCTCGCTTCTGTCAAAAGCAGACAAGCGATAGATCCAAACGCGTTAGCAAGGGGCCTTTAGTAATTTCGTCACAAATTTTCGCATGCTAAACTTTTTATTTTTTTGGTGTGTGATAAAGACACTACGCAAGTCCTTTATCTTTCTCGATTTGATATTTTCAATTCCGCGTCTTTCTCTGTAGAAATCGAAAAGATCTTGGGAACGAAATCTCACAAAAAAATAAAAAATAAAGAGGAAACAAAATCTCATTTAAAGTTTTGAAAATTCAAAAGAAACAAAAAAAGCGCTTAAGCATTTTTTGCATTTCTCTAATTTGCTTTCTCGAATCACAAAGCAATCAATGGCGGGTTATAGAGCAGATGATGAATACGATTACCTTTTCAAGGTTGTTTTGATCGGTGATTCGGGTGTGGGAAAGTCCAATTTGCTCTCACGATTCACCAAAAACGAGTTTAGCCTCGAGTCTAAATCCACAATCGGCGTCGAGTTCGCGACTCGGAGTTTGAATGTTGATGATAAAGTCATCAAAGCCCAGATTTGGGATACTGCTGGTCAAGAAAGGTCTCATCTCTTTTTGCCCTCATTGCCCATTTCTCGATCTGGTTTCTGTTTTTTTAGGTCTTTGTTCTTAGATTCGAACATTTTCTGAGGTTTTAACATCTATATGGTTTGTTCAAATTCCCAAAGAAAAGTAAAATTTTTGAGCTTTAGTTTAGATCTCTGTCAATAGATTTAGCTTCATTGTGATAGATCTGGATTGGTATGTGACTTTGAAAACATGGGTTTTGTCACAAAAGTCAAAAACTTTTGTCTAAGATAAGAGAATCCGAGGATTATGTGTATAAAGTTATCAGCTTTGGTCGAATTTCCTATATTGCTTAGTCTAGTTTTGAAATTGAAAAGCTTCTTGCTTTGTATAAACTTTCTCTGCGTATCATTCGTTTTCACTATGTTCGTGATCTGTATAAACTTTCTCTGCTTATCATTCGTTTTCACTATGTTCTTGATGTAAGTTTGGTTTAACTTGATTGTTCACTATTCATTGACAAATGTTTCAATAGGTACCGAGCCATCACTAGCGCGTATTACAGAGGAGCTGTTGGAGCTCTTCTCGTCTACGACGTAACTCGACACTCAACGTTTGAAAACGTAGAGACGTGGCTCAAAGAACTCAGAAACCACACCGATCCAAACATCGTAGTCATGCTCGTGGGCAACAAATCTGATCTCCGCCATCTTATTGCTGTTCAGACCGAAGAAGCCAAAACTTTCGCTGAGAAAGAATCTCTCTACTTCATGGAAACCTCAGCTCTCGAATCCACAAACGTCGAGAACGCTTTCGCTGAAGTCCTCACTCAGATTCACCACATTGTGAGCAAGAAGGCCATGGAAGCAGCTAGTGAAGCAGCTAATGTTCCGTCTAAAGGAGACAAGATCGATATCGGTAAAGATGTTTCCGCTGTGAAGAAATCCGGATGCTGCTCAAACTAATAAGAAGAGTAGTAGATATCTTTTGCAATGTTTAACGACCTTGAGGATCGGTTTATCTTTATATTAAAAAAAACGATTTATCTTTTTGTTAATCTCAAGTTAATGATTCGGATCCAATATATGAGTGAATCTCAAAGTTTTGAAAATTTCAAGAACAAGCGATAGTGGAGTCTGCGATCTTGAAGTTGAAGATAGTGTCCCATACGTATTTGAAAACGTATTCCTCTTCGCCGTCTAGACGTTGTCCGTTCATGAGGAGACACACATCACCGGTTTTGGACAAAACCGAGCTATCAATGGTTGTGACAGATTTGAAATCGGCGCACGACAACTGTATGTCAAAGAATACGCATGTACATGGGTTCTTCACTCTCACTTCCCACTCCGGTTTGTTCTTAACCATCTTTCCGGTCTTCGATTGTGTCAGGGTTAGACTAAACCTATCACACCCATACCCTTCAAAAATTTCAAACGGAAACAAGAAACTCTTATTTTGCTTTCATTTAGAACAATTAAAAAGAAAACATATAAGAAAAATATTAATCTACTTGTTGATATGTTTTATACAAAAAAAAAATAGATTTATTAGATTTGGTATATGATCAGGACATGTAACTTTAATGGTTTGTGCTATTGGCGTCACTATGTCACTATTTGGATTCAAGCCTAGCATAATGGATGTTGTTAGACAAAAAAAGAAAAGGTATGTAAGATATCGACTTATAGTGATCAAAGAATCTATTAAGGTTATAATATATCTGTTTAATACTATATATAAGTGTATACGAATATATAAATACCTTGGGTGATGAAGGCGAAAAAGATAAGGAGGCAAATGAGTTTGCAAGCTTTTGCTTCCATTGTCTGGTCTTTGAAGTTTTATCAGAGACTTTAGAAAATTGTATCAAGTATGACTGAGTATGTGGCTGCTCAGATCTGATACTGAGTATTTATAGGATTTATCTTATATAACAGATTAACAAGTTTTGGTATAGTTTCCCCTAAATATATACATACGTGTTAAAATGTTGAAAAAAGTAGGTGCAAATAGAAAACGTATGGTAAGAGAAGATAATCACTAAATTAATTAAATTAAATGTTTTATTTGCTTTGTTAAACTACAAGTCAAAACTCATTGGTCATAATAAAAAACTAAATTACAAAAGAGATTTTGAAATCATAAAAAAAAAACATTTTCTTACTGAATTAAATGAAAGTGTTTCCTTTGCTTTATTAAACTAAAGGTGAAATCTCATTGGATCAAAGCTAATTAATTTGTTTAACAAAAATTACAAAAGAGATTTTTTTAAAACATAAGTAAAAAAATATATATTTTGAAATCATTTTCTTTCAAGTAACTGGATTTTAAAATCACCAGTTTCGGGTAACAAACCCAAATGGTTTAACATTCATACCCCCAAAAAAAAACCCAAATGGTTTATAATAAAACTCCGATTCAATTTTCGCCTAACCGTTTCTCATACGTTTGTAGCTTTCTGTTTTGTTTTCCCACAGTATATTAGACAGGAAATTCTGACATAGGCTATGAGCCTATGATGCCTGATTCTCTTGTTAATTAAGCATATGATTGTGGCTACTTAAGCAGGGACATATTGAGTGTTCGTTTAACTCAGCTTGGTTAAGGTCAATATCTTCATGTCAACAATGCGCTTGCTTATACATGGCTAGATTTCTAGTGATTTCTTGCTAGTGATTTCTTGTTAACCAAGATGCACACACTTTTGGACATTTTTAATGTGAAAAACTCTCTTATGTCCTCAATTTTAATAAGGGTTTGATGTCCCAACTTAGAAATAGCCCTGCATGTTGATGTTTTTGAACGTTTATCTTTTTGTGCTGTGTTGTAAAGTTGAATGCTGATATATGGACGGTTACAATCGTAGACAATATAACCAGAAGCTCTTTCAAGAGGACTAGTTTTTCTGTCATTAAAGATAATAAAACTTTTAGTTCGTAGTGCCATCAAGACTGTGAAATATTCTTTTAATTCGTAGTGTGCTTTTAAAAATATTCTCCATAGATGAGAAAAAGTGGATGAAAGGTTTTCTCTAAAACGGAGGAATGTGATGAAACGTCCATTATGTTCTGGTCCTAGTTTGTGGTCAGCAGAATGTGAAAAAATGTAATAATAACTGACAAAATAACAAAACTCAAAATAAAAGTGATTTACGTTTATTAATCTCAAGTTAATGATTCGGACAATATATATTTGAGTAAATATCATCAGTTTCATGTGTTCTCAGAATAAACTAAACTAACATGAACCAAGACCGAATAAAACCGGAAACATTTGGGGTTAGAAAAAAATTCAAGAGCAAGCGATCTGGCCGTCGGTGATCTTGAAGTTGAAGCTAGTGTTCCATACGTATTTGAAAACGTATTCTTCATCATAGCTAAGAACTTTTCCGTCGTTGAGGAGACACACATCACCGGTTTTAGACAAAACCGAGCTAGCAATGGTTGTGACAGACTTGAAATTGACGCACGATAAATGTATTTCATAGTAATTGCAAGAACATGTGTTCTTAACTCTCACTTCCCACTCCGGTTTGTTCTTAACCATCTTTCCGGTCTTCGATTGTTTCAGAATTACACTCTCCTGAATCGTTTCACAGATCCCGGCATACCCTTTAAAATATCCAACGGAAACAAGAAAATAATATTTTCCTTTATTTAGAACAATTGAAAAAAAAAACACAAATATACAAGAAAAATAAGATTTATAATGTTATTACTTGTTGATATGTTTTTAAAAAACAATTCGTTCAGTTTTAACTAGACTTGGTATATGATTAAGACATGTAACTTAGTAGTTTGTGTTATTGGCGTCATCATGTCACTATTTGGATTCAAACCTAGGATAATGCATGTTGTTGATAACAAAAAATGTTACTATATCACTACAAGAAAGAGAGGCTTTTCCGTCGAATTATTTACGATGATTTGTAATCGTCGTAAATTTACGACGACATTACGTCGTATTTACGACGATAAAAAATTTCGTCGTAAATTCGACGTAAAAAATAACCCTCGTAAAATCGTCGTAATGTTACGACGATATTACGACAAATAAAGAACGAATTTTATTTCGTCGTAATCTTGTCGTAATATTTACATCGATAATACGACGAATTGTCCTCTATCTTGTAGTTGACGTAAAATCGACGTAAATGTGATGTAAATTTTATTTCGACGTAAATTTGATGTAAATATGCAATGGTAATATGTTGGTAACCAAACAAAAAATTCTATATATACCCTTTCTTCTCTCATTATTCCATCAACCAAAAAAACATATAAAGACACAAATTTTTTGAGTCTTTGAATGTTTAAGTAAAATTTTTAGTAGTTGAAATTTCTATCAAATTTCAGAAACAAAAAGTCAAATATTTGTTTTTGAAATGTCTATATACGATCTACGAAAGTGGATGTATACGCCCAAAAATGGTGATGGGTCGTTGACTGAAGACTTCAAAAACGGATTGGAAATATTCATGTACCAAGCCGGTCTTTTGGAAACTGTAATTGAAAGCGGCAAAATGTATTGTCCTTGTGTGAAATGCAAAAATAGGAAACATATTCTTATTGACACTGTCTGGCAGCATTTATTGAATAGAGGGTTCATGCCCCAATACTTTATTTGGTATCAGCATGGAGAGGAATATGGTCAAAGTAGTGGTCAGATGGCTACACGGAGTAGTAGTAATCATCAAGAACATGTGGATTTTGAAGCGTCCAATGATTATCAAAGTAGTCAAGTTCAGGGTGAAGATCATGATATGATGCATGAAATGATTACTGATGCATTTCATGAAACACATGCTGATACTGTTGAGGAGCCCAATGCAGATGCGAAACGCTTTTATGATATGTTAAACGCAGCAAAACAGCCTCTGTACGAGGGATGTAGGGAAGGTTTATCAAAATTATCATTGGCAGCTCGGATGATGACAATAAAAACTGATCACAATCTATCAGAGCTGGTTTTTAGTCTTGGATTGCCTTCTGAGATGATTGATGTTTGTGTTGATAATTGTATGCTTTTTGGGAGAGATGATGAGAAGCTTGAAGAATGTCGTTTCTGCCAAAAGCCAAGATATAGACCGCAAATTGCTGGGCGTAAGAAGATTCCTTACCAACGAATGTGGTATCTTCCTATCACTGATAGGTTAAAAAGACTATATCAATCCGAACGGACAGTTGCGTCGATGAGATGGCATGCAGAACATTCACAAACAGATGGCAAAATGACTCACCCGTCTGACGGGAAATCTTGGAAACATTTTAACACCGTACATCCAGACTTTGCTAGGTCTAAGCGAAATGTTTATCTTGGTCTTTGCACTGACGGGTTTAGTCCATTTGGTATGTCTGGTAGGCAATATTCATTATGGCCTGTGATTCTTACGCCATATAACCTTCCTCCAGATATGTGCATGCAAAGAGAGTTTTTGTTTCTAAGTATATTAGTCCCTGGTCCAAATCACCCGAAGCGGGCCCTTGATGTGTTTTTGCAACCACTCATACATGAGTTAAACCAGTTGTGGCATGTTGGAGTACGAACATATGACTGTTCGAGTGGTAAAAATTTTACGATGCGAGCGGTGCTTATGTGGACAATAAGCGATTTCCCGGCATACGGAATGCTATCAGATTAGACAACGCATGGGAGGTTATCATGTCCTTATTGTCTTCATAGGACTGATGCATTTCAGCTTAAACATGGTAGGAAAACCTGTTGGTTTGATTGCCAACGTCGGTTTTTACCACCAAACCATCAATATAGAAGAAATATGCGTTTGTTTATAAAGAACAAATTGGTTCGTCTCCCTCCACCAGTGTACCTAACTGGAGTAGAGCTTGAAGCGCAAATAGATCATTGGGGTGGACTTGAAACGGTCCCCCTTGGAGGAAATTGGCACACTCCTGCGAATATGCCTGACGGATATGGGGTTCATCACAATTGGCACAAGAAAAGTATATTTTGGGATCTGCCTTACTGGAAAGATCATTTGCTTAGACACAATCTTGATGTTATGCACATTGAGAAGAATTTTTTCGATAACATCATGCATACTGTTTTGAACGTCCAAGGAAGAACCAAAGACAGCGTTAAATCACGGATGGACTTACCTGATATATGTAACAGAATTGAGTTGCATATGGTGAGTAATAGGAAAGCACATGTTCCTGTATTTTGGTTGGGTGCTGAACAAAAAACAGCATTGTTTAATTGGGTATCATCAGCCGTGAAATTTCCTGATGGATATGTATCTAATCTGGCTAAATCTGTGGATAAAGGACAAAAGTTTTCAGGGATGAAAAGTCATGATTGTCATGTGTTTATGCAACGGTTACTTCCTTTTGCGTTTGCTGAACTCCTACCGGGACATGTCCATGAGGCACTAGGAGGCATTGGAGCTTTCTTCCGTGATCTAAGTACAAGGACATTATCAGAAGATGTAGTTGCACAACTGTCTACAAATATTCCAATATTGTTGTGCAATTTAGAGAAAATATTCCCACATGCTTTCTTCGATGTTATGGAACATTTACCTATACACCTCCCTCATGAAGCAGAGTTAGGAGGACCTGTTCAGTTTAGGTGGATGTATCCGTTTGAACGATTTATGAAGCATTTGAAGGGTAAGGCCAAAAACTTAGCAAAAGTTGAAGGGTCTATCGTGGCGGGAAGTCTGACAGAAGAGACTTCTCATTTCACGTCTTATTACTTTGCTCCAAAGGTTCGTACACGCAAACGGGCTCCAAGACGTTACGACGATGGGGGTGTAGGACAAAGTTACGCAGTAGAAGGTGTGCCTGATATATTCTCACCAATTGGACGTCTAAGTGGGAAACTAAAAGAAACTTGTTGGTCAAACGAACAAGACTACCACAGCGCACATACATATATACTTCTGAATTGCGAGGAATTGGCACCTTACGAGAGGTACATAATTATAACCATGTATTATTAAAATTTGATTGAACAGACGAAATGTCCTTAACAATGTTTTAAAATTTCAGCACTTTCGTCAGTCAAGTCCGAGAATGCATTGACGGTGTTTCAGAAGATGAAATTAACAAGCGAAAAGACCAACATTATGCATTGTGGTTAAAAGGTCAAGTCGAGCATGATGACATGACATATGCAGTATGGTTTCATGAGTTGCTCCTAGATCCTATTTCGAAGATAACTACTGCAGCTATGTATTTCACACGTGGCTATGTTTTTCATACTTATAGTCATGGCACTCAACGGGCAACTACGAACTATGGAGTTTGTGTACGAGGTGAAGTAGACTTTTATGGGATCATCAAAGAGATAGTTGACCGTCGCTGAGCAAGACCAGATTTTCGAAGAGGTATGATCTATTTCAATTTTTTTTTAAATTTATTATATTTATTACTTAATAAATAATTAACGTTTTTATTTTCCATTTGTAGGTTGCTCCGAAGAAGAAGGGCCGAACCTTAGGGATGGGCTCTATTAGAGACTGTCCTGCCGCCTCGGCTTCCGGATTCCGCACGCAGGAGGATCCGAGTCAGCTTCGCCAGGAGCTTGCTACGGCCAATGCTGAGATCACCACTCTCAGGCATGAGCAAGTGGCCCAGAAGCAAGAGCTCACCGAGATGCACGGTCTCTTCGACATCATTGCGGAAGCGGTTCCGCAGTTGGCCACCGTAATCCGAGCGAGGCAACAGCGAGCACGAGGGGTCTTTGAGACCGGTGGTACTTCCGGTACTGGACCATCGGACCAGCAGACGCAGGGTCAGTCTTCGGCTCCGGTAGTGCAGACGGGAAACGACGGTCCAGCAGCGACGGGCGGTCAAGACGGAGAGCCTCCTCGTGACGTCGATCTGAACCTCGACGATTACGAAATCACATTGTAGATTAGGTTTTTTTGTAAAAAACAATTTGTATTAATTTTTTTTTTTATTTATAAATTATTTTTGAATTTAAATTGTTTTTTTCTATTTTTAATTTTTTATTATTTTCAAATTTCATTAATTAAATTAAAATCGAATTAAATATTTAATTTATAAATCGACGTAAATTTGTCGTAAATTTACGTCGATCTAACGTCGAATATTTAACGACGAATTTACGTCGAATATGTTTACGTCGAATTTACGTCGAAAATTTACGACGATTTAACATCGACAATTAAAAAATTAGTTTCCCTTAATTGAAATTGTTCGTCTCCTAATCGTTGTTAAATCGATGTAATTTTACATCGATTTTACGTCGTTTTTATGTTGGAGTTCTTTCGTTGTACTTCCGTTGGAAATTTTACGTCGCATTTACGACGAATAGTTTCCGACGATTTTACGACGATTTTCCGGAGTTGGTAATTTTACGACGATTTTACGACAATTTTGGTTTTACGACGATCGTTTTACGACGAATTTTTTTTCGTCGTTAATTTGACGTAAATGCTGTTTTACGTCGATTTTACGTCGATATATGCCGACGTAAAACCCGATCTTTCTTGTAGTGTATAGGACATCAACTTATAGTTATGATCAAGGAATATACTAAGATTATATTATATTTGTGACGAAGATTATATTATATTTGTTTCTAAGTAAATAATATACTTTTTGTATTCTATATATATATATATATATATGTATATAAAAATATATATACCTTGGGTGACGAAGGCGAAGAAGATAAGGAGGCCAATGAATTTGCAAGCCTTTGCTGCCATTGTTGGTTCTTTGGAGTTTTATGGGAGAAGAAAGACAAATTTATTATGAGTGAGTATTTCCAAGGAGCCATCGGTTTATCCTATATAACAAAAATCTTGTGGCATAGTCATAAATATATGCGTACTTAAATGTTGAGCAAAGTAGGTCAAATGTAAAACGTATGGTAAGGAACATAATAGTAAAAACGAAATTAAATTAAAATGTTTTCCTTTCCTTTGTTAAAATTAAGGTCAAATCTCACTGCCTCACTGGGTCAAAACTGAATAATTTTTGTTTACCAAAATTACAAAAGAGATTCTGAAATCATAAATAAAAAGCATTCAACGTTTATCACTTATTTAATTAAATTAAATATACTTTCTAAAGGTCCAAAGCTAATTGGGTCAAAGCTAATTAATTTGTTTAACAGAATTACCAAAGAGATTTATAAAAAATAAAAAAGTATAGATTTTGAAATCATTTTCTTTCGGGTAACAAAACCAAATGGTTTATAAAAAAATCTGGTACAATTTTGACTTAACCGTTTCGATTTGGTTCGGTTAGCTTTTGGTTACAGAGCTTTTGCCGACCTCTAATTTAGACCCGAAACTGAGAAATCGCCGGAGAAACTCACAGTTACAGATTAGCTATGGCAATGGCGGAGCCAAGGAAGCTCAGAGGCCATAAATCAACCGCCACCTGTTGTATATCTTCTCGTGAACGGCCGGGACTTGTTGTCACTTCCGGCGAGGTCTCCAAAATCTCTAATCGAAACCTCTCTTTTTTTTTCTATTCGATGAATTTAGGGTTTCGTTTTAGTTACTTCCTGTCGATTTAGGTTCTTAAGAAGAAACTTTTAACAATTTAAATAAGTTGATTATAGGATGGTTGCGTTTGCTGGTTTGATTTGCGATGTAAAGATGTCCAATTCACCATTGACGTTGGGACAGAACCAGTTTCATCTCTTTGTTTCAAGACAGGTTTTGTCTCTATTTTGCTTCTATATCTCTCTCAAGACTCAAATACATTTCTTTGTTTCAATTGGTGATTAATTTTGTTTTTTCCATTTGATTCAGGTAACGAGCACATTCTATATGCTTCTTCTGGAAACGAAATCAAGTCTTTCGATGTTCATATGGTAAAAAAAAATCGAAACTTTGGTTAGTATATAAAAATATTCTTCACTCAGTTAAAATCTTCTCTCTTTCTGCATTTTTATAGCTAAGTGCTGCTTCTTGGAAGCCATTAGAGAGTTACAATTACAACAAAGATGAAATCAACCAGGTAGAGACTTAAAAAACCCTGACTTTTTGAAAACTTCATCAAATCGATTTCAATATATTTTGATTTGTGTAGGTAGTATGCAATGGAAAATCATCTTTTCTAGCTTCTGCAGATGATTCTGGTGATGTTAAGGTACCTCAATAGTTGTTCATAATACTTGAAGATTACATAAACATGATTTTGTCTTTGGGACCTTTTCTCAGTATGATTAACTGCTCGCTCGAATACAGATCATTGACGTTGGTCAGAAATGCCTTTATAAAACCCTTAGAGCTGGTCATACAAGTGTATCCTTTCTCGCTGTTTTGTGTAGCTCGCGTCTGTGAAATTCTACAAACCTCGGAAAATAAAACTCAAGTGGCACCTTAATGTAACTAACAACTAAGATATGCAGTAGCGTGCAATTCATCCATGGAGACCTTGGGAAGGTAACTAACTATTGCGCTTATCATTATATTATATGTCTCTTCAAGTTTTCTAAAATGGGTAATATTCTTACAGTTATAACTGGTGGGCTTGATTCAAAGCTTGTTTTGTGGGATTTCTCAAAAGGTCGCTCGCAAAAGATTATAGACTTTGGTAAGCCTAAGCCACAGATTCGGGTTCATTAGCCATCTATATTATATATGCCATTAGATCTGATTTCAAGAGTCATTTCTGTAATCTTTCAGGCTCTGATACACAAAGTAACTCAGGACAATGCCTAAACCCTGCGTTTGTCCACTCGATAGCAGTTCCGGAAATGGACATGGTTGATAAGTTAGACAAGATATGCGCTGTTGCTAGAGGTGATGGAATCGTAGATTTGATCAATATTGAATCAGAACTTTCCCGGAAAGTAACTTCATCAACATCAAAAGGAAGCAGCAGCAGCAGCAACAACAATGTGATCAAAAGGGTTCGGTTAGATTACTCTGTTGGTGGACACAAAGCTGCTGTGTCTTGTGTAGCGTTTTCTCTGTTTCAAGAGAAAGGTAGATTCTTGATCTCAGGTGGTAATGATAAGACGGTTAAAATATGGGATTGTTTTAAATGTCTTGGCTCAGACAACAACATTAATAACAGAGATCTCGTCCATTTGAATGTAGACCTAAACAAGAAGGTAAAATTGAAGCTATCATAGTTCTTTAGCTTTGCCACTTCTTCTTCCTCTTTGATTCTGATATCTAATTGGCTTTTCCTTTTAAAACAGGTGAACTGGCTCTGCACGAATCAATCTGATTCTGAGAATCTTGTTGTCTGTGACACAACAAGAGTAGTCAAGGTTTACTCAATCTCGTAACTGAGCCTGATGGGTTCATAAGTAGACTGAAAGATTCGTCCTTTATTGGACATTGTTTGTTAGTGGACCTTCTCAAGTGGTTGCTTGATCCACAAGTTAGTTATTTGTTCTTAGGTTCAAAATGCAAGATACAATTAAATTGCGTAATCGCAACAACATCATAATTGCTACAACATCTTGCGATCAAAGATTGATCGAAAACGGTTCACATATGGCAAAAAATCGCTAATTTTTCTATAATGTTTTCTTTAATAAATAAATTGAATGATAGTACACGAATTTTAATTTGAGAAAATTGAACACTAACGTTTTTACATAGTAGATCTGTTTAACCCGCGAATTTGACTCATAACATCCTTAACTACTACTAACACTACTATTGATGTTTCTTCTAAATGAGACTTTTTATCATTTTTTTGTCTTAATAGGATTTTCTAAATCAATACTCACTATCGTTTTCATGAATTATAATTATCAATGTTCATGTTAATTGTTAACAATGGTGGGTTATTTCATTTAAAGACGTTTACTTCAACTAACTTGAATATACACACACAGAAATTGCTATTTCAGATTTTGTTGCCAAAAATAATAACTCATATTTAATTTAACTAAATTCTGAATTGTTAAACTCTTTGCTATCATCATCACTTTTATAGTTTTATAGGACACCAGTGTTTTATATTTCTGTGTGTTTTATTCAATCTGAGTTTTAAATCTGAGTTTTCTACCAAAACTCTTATCTACGGGAATGTACACCAAAAAGGTGATCCTTCTCAAATTTTCTTGTCACACATTTAAGAATTTGGTATGAAGTTGAAATCCATTGTTATTCAATAAATTGTATTTTAATCCTAAAAAAGCACTAAATCACAAAGAGTATATATATAACTCACAAGAGTACAAGACTCTTCCTTTCAAACATATCCATTTTCAAACATTCCGAAATCTCTCCTCTCTTCTCCACTATGAAACCGCCGCAAACGCAACCGCTGTTTCTCATCTTCCTCCTGCTCCTCCTCTTAGCCTCTGTCTCCTCCTCTTCTCCATTAGACCCAAAACAGCTCAAAGCTCTCATATCTCTCAAAATCCTTACAACAACAACAACAAAAGATCCCTGCAACAACAACAACAACTCATCCTCCTCCTCCATAACTTGCGACAACGCTTCTCCTTTCCGCCACGTAACCTCTCTCTCCTTCACAAACCTCTCCTCTCTCTCTCTCTCTCCTCCAAAACCCTAAAACCTCTCTCCAAATCCCTCCTCTCTCTCTCCTTCCGTAACTTCCCTTCTCTCTCACCTCCAAAACACCTCCCCATCTCCCTCCACTCCTTCTCCGCCGTCTCCTCCTTCCACCGCCGCCGTCACAGACTCTCCGGCGTCTTCCTCTCTCGTCTCGTTAACCTCAAAGACCTCAACATCCTCTCAACACCAATCTCAACCTCTGGTCGTCTTTACGTCATCCTCGGAAACATGCGTAAACTCACTTCCCTCACAATCTCAAACTCAAATCTCTCCGGCACAATCCCTAAATCGTTTCACTCGAATCTCACTTCCATCGATTTATCAAACAACTTACTCAGAGGATCACTACGCGATTCGATTACTATTCTCTCAAGCCTCGAATCTTTGAATCTATCTCGTAACTCACTCTCCGGCCAAATACCAAACAAAATCGGAGACTTGGTCTGGTTAAAAAACCTGTCTTTGGCTTCGAACAGAGTATCAGGACCAATCCCGAGTTCGATCTCGTCGATCTCTGAGCTTACGCGTTTGGATCTTAGCGGGAATCAGCTAAACGGTACCGTTCCAAGCTTCTTCTCCGAGATGAACAATCTTAAACACTTGAACCTCGCTGATAACTCATTTCATGGAGTCTTGCCGTTTAACGAGAGTTTCATCAAAAAGCTCGAATTTTTCGAAATCGGAGGGAACAGTGATCTCTGTTACAACCACACTGTTCTGTCGTCGAAGCTTAACCTGGGCATTGCTCCATGTGATAGATACGGCTTGCCTTTGTCGTCTCCGCCGCAGAAGGAGGATTCGACGGCGGATGATGAGGAGGAAGACGATAATGGCGAAGAAGAAGGAGAGGATGAGGATACGAAAACAGAGCATCGTGGTTCTAACGAGACTGTGCTTGGTGTCGCCATTGGTCTTTCTTCGCTTGTGTTCTTGATCATCTTCCTCATCCTTGTCGCTAAATGGTGTGGTTGAATTCTCAAAAAGGTCTAATCTTTACCGGTTTTTTTTTCAGAAAGTCTTCAAATCTTTTGGACTGATTCGTTTGAGAATAATTAGACCGTTGGGTGAAAACCGGTACAACCCGGTTTAAAAGTAACGGACTTTTTCTCACCTCTTGTTCATTGCTTTGTAATTAAATGGGAAATTTATGGTTTTGGACACCTTTTGTATTTGCTATTTTCCACCAAATTTTGTTGTTGTGAATTGTGATTTTATAAGACTTCAAATTATGACTGTCTGAAGAGTTATTTTGGGTTTTTTAAATAGTTCATTTGGTTTATTCTAGTGGAAAGTATTCATAAAAATTGTTTGGGCAGATTACTCCCGATTACTTATTACCTTTGCCAAAATATGGACTAACCAAGTAATGAGTGGAGTAAACAAAAAGGTGTGAAAATTCAAATCATTAGTTTTTCTTCAAATCATTATTCCCAAAAGTTATTAAAACTTTTTTATAGATTACTTAAATTAGAACTCTTCCCAAATTATGGACTGTAAAGAAATGATTAGGGAATAAAAATGATTATTAAGTGAGCTGAGTAAAATGAAAGAGTGGTTATGATTCCGGACTCTACCAATTTTGCCTTTGAAGCATTGATACTATAATGAAGAACTTTAAGACTTATCACATTGCTGTTTTATTATCGATTGTCTATCAAATTATCTACTAGACAACTGTATTCAAGTCTCTCTAATCTTCGACAATCAATCCACTAGAACAATGGTGAGAACTAAATATTACTATTTATGAACAAATCATATAATCTTATATGTTGCATTCTATAAAAATATATATAATAAATTAATTTATCTCAGGCGTTATATCACCGCTCGCTTTCTTGAACACTGGTGAGAACTAATTCCTGAACACAGGACAATTCTAGCTTCTTGTTGTTGATAATGTCAAAGTTGAAGAGCTCAAAGAACATAAAAATCAAAGAAACTGCTTTGATTAATTTTAGTTTTGATGAAGACGACAAATTCGAGAAAAAACAAAACCATATCTCAAGGTTCTTGGAAAATTTAGATTCTACCGAACTGATGTCTAAAAAGAGATACAGAAATAGTAAAGATAACAGCTTGAAACGAATTGCTAAAATACCCAAAAATCTCTGAAGATTTAAACTTTTTTTTTTTTTATCCAGTGATGTTCTGAGACTTGTTGAGAATAACTCCTTCGTACTTAACTTGGAACCATTTCATTGCATCATCCTTAGTCACTCTGTGTTGGATACCAACGCGAGCCTTGCATCTACGGCGACGAGCCACACGGTATCCTGGGCGTTCAAGAACAACGTAGAAGTCCATTCCGTAGATACCGGTCGAAGGATCGTACCTAAATACACAACATTAAAACATATGAGAACCACAAAAACCAGTAAAGCGTTTATCTTTTATCAAATCCAAATCTATGATTCCACAAATATACCAGTTAAGAGTTTATCTTTTTATCGAACCCAAATTTAACATCCCATGAATTCTCCAGCATATGGTTCACTTATTCAAATTCCAAACCTAACATTCTCCCAATATTTGTCTTTGAAGCAATGGTTATCATGAAGAACTTGCTGTAGATTTATCACAATTATTTTCACAGTCGATTATTTACCATATTATCCAATCGATGCCACAGATAAATGTTAAATCGTTAATGAATTCCAAATGTAAGATTCCTCATAAGCGAGTAAAGTGTGTTTTTAAATAAACTCAAACCTAAACATTCTACTAAAAAGAAGCAAGTATAGTGTTCATCTTTTAGCAAACATAAATCTAACATTGGGCATTTGGGTGAAAACTAGTAAACGGTTTATCTTTAATCAATACCAAAACATAATCCTTAAACATCAGTAAAGCTTTTCACCTTTTATAGAACCCAATCTAAACATTCAACCAAAACTAGTAGGCCTTATCTATAATCAAATCTAAACCGAACATAACACTAATTTGGAGATTGTTCATTTCTAGATGCAATTGCTTGATACACGAAGAAAACGAAATGCTAAAACATTGTGCAAAACCAATTAATCTATTTGTTTCAAAAAAAACAGAAAACTTACTTGATTCCAAGATCAATGTGCTCTTGAATACCGAAACCAAAGCAACCAGTGTCACTAAAGTTCCTCCTAAGAAGCTCATACTCCTTAACTTTCAAACCGCTCTCAAGAAGCTGCATTGCCTTATCACCTCTCACGGTGACATAGCACGCAATCTTTTCGTTACGCCTAATTCCAAAAGACCTCACAGTGTACCTCGCTGCAATATAGAGAACCCATGATAACACAACATCAGAATCAAGATTTGACACAACAAAAAAAGACAAAATGAGAATTTTTTAACATTCACATACCCTTGGAGAAGACAGGGGTTTGACCACTGAGCTGTTCCAACACCTACAAGAGAAAAAATGGACCAAAAACAACAATTCATAACTCATCGTGTGACAATCTAAGCCAATTAGAGTGACGAGAAATGGTAATTTAAAGATGTCTTTTTTCTCTATGGAAAAAAAAAACAAAAAACGGACCTTAGAGGCACGAGTGAGACGATCACCACTCTCACCAACGGAGATGTTAAGAACGAGTTTCTGGACCTTAATGTCCCTCATGGGGTTCGACAGCTTCTTCTCCGACGCCTGCAATCACCAAGAGAAAAAACAAAAACAAAGATTATAAACCCAATTACCAAAATACATCACCACTTGAATCGATGATCTACAGAGAAAAGACGAGGAATTTACCATTCTTAAGGATCAAAATCGAGCTAAGTGAGGAAGCAAAGAGAGTTGCGAAACCGAAACTGCGTCAAGTGGGAAGTGAAAGGACTTATATGGGACGGTACTAGGGTTTCGTTACAAATGACGAAATTAACCCTATCGAAAATTTACAAAGCCCACGATGAGTATAGCATAATTTTTGTCATATGGCCTTTTACTGAATTATACTCTTTTAGTTATAAAAGAAACATAAATTCCAAAATGTATCTTTCAACAATGGACTGCTGTATTTTTCAGTTAATTAGTTTTCAAATTTGCTAGTACTTTACTCCTTCCGTATTTATATGATGTTTTTAAGAGATTTTAGTTTCAATTTATACAATTGTCACCATTTATATATTTACAGTGTTTTTCAATTAACTAAAGCATGGATTTAACACTTTTTATATCTACGTATCGGGAAAACGGCTAATTAGTACCTGAACTGCAAATTCTGGTACCGTTTAGTACCCGAGAAATTTTGGTGTGCGAAATAATACTTCAACTCGTACATATTGGCAAATCGGTACCTGCACTTGTCTTTTTTGGCCGATCAGTACTTTGACCTTGTTTCCGTTAGTCAACCCCGTCTATTTTTAAACAGGATGTGTCGAGTGCCACTATGGCATCCACGTCACTATACCGTTTGGGCAAATGACAAAACGTCGCCGTGTAGAAATTATCGAGAATTAAAAAAATTATAAGGTAAAACGACGTCGTTTAATGATTAGGAGAACAAAAAAAAAAAAAAACAAGACGCGGTCGTTTTATAATAGATCACCAAAACAAAGCGTAGTCTTCTTCTTCCTCTGAGGCTCGACCTAAAATTGGGGAAAAACAAAACAACAACAGCTAGGGTTTCGGTGGTCGAACAAATCAGTAAGGAATGGCTACATCATCGAATTCAAACAATTCCTCACGAATTTCAGGTAAGTTGGGAGTTGTCAATACACGCTTGTATTCTTCGGATAGCGATTTCCTCCGATTTCCTCTTGTTTATGTAGTTTTTCATGTTCATATTAGAAATTTGAATTTGTATTACAAATCTGCAGGGTTTAGTGTTGGTATGTCTTGTGGTGTTCCCGAAAGACTTACAGGTATGCACAAGAAGACTTTCAAACCATGACTATTTGGTGTTTTGATGTTTTGGTGTTTTTGTTGTTTTGGTTTAAAACCATGACTTTAGTCGAATTGTAGTTATTTTGGTTTGAATGTTCCAGCTGTGTTGAACTTTGGATGATCATTTTAAATTTGTCAGTCTTAATTCTGCAATTCAAAATATTTTGGAATCCAACTCAATCTTACAATATCTAACATTAATAGAAGTTTTAATCCAACAAATTACAACAAAACATCAAGATTTCTAGAATTAACTAAGCCCTAAAAAAAGTAACCACCGATCACAACAGCTCCACACACAATCATAGTCTTTAAAAACCATAGCTCAGTTTTCATTGCTTCGACCTCTTTCTCATACGCACGAGCTATGGTCTTCATGGTTTTCATTTCTTTGTCAAAGCAATTGACCCTTGCTTCACAAGATCTTGTTTTGACTTCTAACTTCTGCATCATATCTTTCACCTGAAACATTTCTTCTACCATAGCCTCATATGTCCATTTGAACAAATGATAATTGTCCTTGCACCAGATAAAACGACATCATGAATTCATACTCAAAATGAAAGTTTTTCTTTACTCCTCATTCAAATAACGCTAATAAGAATGATAATCTGTGAACTGAATTTACCTTCTGCGACCGTTTTGGACAACAATAGAAAAGTCTTCCGGGATTTTTAGGTGTTCCTGAAGTTCTTATCACAGAAACTTCTCCACACCTACAAGTAATGGGCATACCTGTAAGTCCTTCGGGAACACCACAAGACATACCAACACTAAACCCTGCAGGTTTGTAATACAAATTCAAATTTCTAATATGAACATGAAAAACTACATAAACAAGAGGAAATCGGAGGAAATCGCTATCCGAAGAATACAAGCGTGTATTGACAACTCCCAACTTACCTGAAATTCGTGAGGAATTGTTTGAATTCGATGATGTAGCCATTCCTTACTGATTTGTTCGACCACCGAAACCCTAGCTGTTGTTGTTTTGTTTTTCCCCAATTTCAGGTCGAGCCTCAGAGGAAGAAGAAGACTACGCTTTGTTTTGGTGATCTATTATAAAACGACGGCGTCTTGTTTTTTTTTTTTTTGTTCTCCTAATCATTAAACGACGTCGTTTTACCTTATAATTTTTTTAATTCTCGATAATTCCTACAAGGCGACGTTTTTTCATTTGCCCAAACGGTATAGTGACGTGGATGCCACAGTGGCACTCGACACATCCCGTTTAAAAATAGACGGGGTTGACTAACGGAAACAAGGTCAAAGTAATGATCGGCCAAAAAAGACAAGTGCAGGTACCGATTTGCCAATATGTACGAGTTGAAGTATTATTTCGCACACCAAAATTTCTCGGGTACTAAACGGTACCAGAACTTGCAGTTCAGGTACTAATTAGCCGTTTTCTCTCTACGTATCATACGGATTCAAAACATGGTCTTTTGAGTTTCTAACAAAAATCTAAATGTTAATATCAACATTTGTAATGTGTTTTCCTATATGTCTGGATAATCATCCAGATCCTAATCTAGAGTATTATAACAGAGAGGGCATTTTTTCTGGCTAATCCATGGGTTTAAAGTCCAAAACACATCATCAATTATCCCATCTTAGTCCATTAAGTTCTACTTATCTACTTTCTACCATTACCATTTAGAGCAAAATAATGAAATATCGATTACTCCCCAAATCATCATTTTTTATTCTTGGAACAAAAGAATGGAAAGAGTGACCAAAAACAGAAATTAACAATGACAAGAAAACTAGAAAACCCAACCAATCACACTTTGATATAGTTAGTTTTCAAGTCTCATCGTGGTCCAGAGAGCTCAATGGCTTCAATTATAAACGAATTCTCCTCATGACCTTTACTGTAATTCCTAGAAACACTCGGAGCTCTAGCTTCATACCCACTTTGTGTCTGCTCATAACCAGACTGTTCCACTAAACCTTCAAGAATCTTCAAGACTTCAGACATCTTCGGTCTTAGATTCGGATGTGGCTGCGTACAAAGCAGAGCCAACTCCACAGCTTCCTCCAATACCAAATCATCAAACTGTCCCTTCAAATCTCTGTCCACCATCTCCGCAAATCTTTTCTCTGCTTTCAACGTCCTTACCTGATCCAAGAAAACCAATGTTTTTTATTCAAGTTTTGTCCTTTCTAATGGGATCAATCAAAATCCAAAAAAGTTTCTTGCTTTATGCAATTCAAAAGATGGAAAACAGAAAAGATTCAATCTTTTGGCTTACCCAACTCAATATCATTCCTTTTCGAATCTGACCATTGGCTGGATCAATCATCTTATGACCCGTTATGAGTTCAAGAATCAATACCCCGAATCCAAAAACATCGGTTTTCTCGGAAGATTGTCCAGTGGAAAGGTACTCAGGAGCAATGTGTCCAATAGTTCCTCGAACCGCGGTTGTGACATGTGAATCTCTCTGGTCTAAAAGCTTTGCGAGACCAAAATCGCCAACAATTGCTTCAAAGCTCTCATCAAGTAGAATATTTGCAGCTTTGACGTCTCTGTGAATAATCTTTGGATTACATTGCTCGTGCAAGTAAACAAGCCCTCGAGCTGCACCAAGCGCAATGCATATCCTTCGATTCCAATCTAGAGACGGCTTTTCTCCATAACTATCTGAACAAAACCCATACAAAAATTGTCATCTTTTAAAAGACTTTTATAGCTTATGAAATGAGATATGGTTATAAGTGGAAACCTCTCAGACGATCAGCGACACTTCCATTAGGCATATATGGATACACAAGCATTCTCTCTTCCGGGGTCATACAGAAACCAAATAGACGAAGAAGATTACGATGAACAGCTAAGCCAATCATCTCGACTTCGGTTTGAAACTGAACTTCCCCTGTATAATTTGGATCTTTCAATCTTTTAACCGCCACAACGGTTCCATTTGGGAGATACCCTTTATAAACCATCCCGAATCCTCCTTGTCCAAGAATGTTCTTTGGATTGAAATTGCTTGTTGCGTTTTGTATTTCACGGAAACTGAACCTTTTCAGATGCCCGATTTCAAATTCATAGTCTTGCTGCACTAAGAAACACAATAAACAGTAGCAGATTTTAGAAAAGTCTTGACCTTTACCATAAAAGATTAGATTTTTGGAGATGTGTACCATGTGATCTTGAGAGACGTGATCGACGCCAAAGCACCCACAAGAAGAGGAACATTAGAGAGACGATGAAGGCTACAACAATGCCAAATGCAAAAGAGAGCACTAAGCTGTGATGTTTACTATTGTCCTTTTCAGACAAACCAGACGCTGCAGATCAATAACCACACAAGTTGAAATTATTCACGTTCAACATAAAATAAAAGCTTAGTTTTTTAAAGACACCATACCATTTCTCACAGGTGTAGCATCTGAACAAAGCTCTTGGGAAGCTGAACCACAAAGGAATGCATTTCCTACAATCCTACAACAGAAGAAAAAGAAGTGTCAGGAGAGAGGCTTTCATATACATTGTAAAGTGCATTTTCTCGCATATACTACCTGTAGTCTTTTGCTAATATACTTGGAGTTGGTCCGCTTAGATTGTTGAAAGAGAGATCCCTTTTCATAAATAAGACAACAGTCTAAGAAACGATATACGAAATAGTAAATTGATAAACTGTACTGTTAAGGTAGAGCAAGACATACAAGAAAGAAAGACCTGAGAGGCCAGCGACGAGATGAGGGATTTGCCCGGATAATAGATTCCTACTAAGCCGCCTGAAAAACTTAAGAAAAGGACTTGTAAGATAAATAACTAACTCAAGTGACAAGATTCACTAACTCAAGAATCATAACTAGCAAACTCACAAGTAGTTCAAGTGAGTTAGGAACCCTAAAGAAGCTGGGATCTTTCCACTAAACCGGTTCCCAGAGAGATCAAGTGTTTCAAGCTCAGAAAGTTGGCCTAACTCGGAAGGTATTGGACCGGTTAACTGATTATTCTGCAGTAACCTATACGCACAACAAGTTAAATAACATAAAACACATTCTTGATTTCCAAGATTGACCATAAATTTGTTTTACTCACAGTGTTTGAAGATGAGATAGTTCCCCAATACTAGTTGATATTGTCCCTGATAATCCTTTACTAGCCATCTCTCTGCATAAGATATTCAATAAACAATTCAAATTGCAGAAGAAGAAGAAGAATTAAACGTTCTCAGAGACTTTGGTCGAATATGTGGTGTGCGATGAATACTTACAGAGAAACGACGAAGCCTTCAGAGGAGCAACCAACCATGTTCCAAGTACAAGGATCAACAGAATTTATATCCCAACCAGACAAAACCTCTGTCTCATCTTTCATCTTGTTCTTCACTGACATTAGCGCAGCAACTACAAGAAACAAAATTTGGACATATTAAAACCCTTTTTTCACAAATAAAAGAAAGATTTTTTCGAATCTTTTTTCTCCACCTTCATAGTTAACACCCTTGGGCGATAAGAGACTATCCATTGCAGAAACAGAATCAAGAACAGAATAACAAATCAAGAACCCTAAAAACATAAACTTTATCACAATCTCCATCGGAAAAAGGAGTATTTCCAATGTTATCGTTTTCGCGCAATTCATTTGCCCCTTCGTCTAGGGTAAAACAAACCAATAACGCCATTAAAACCATTATATTTACATATTCTTACAATAAAAAAGATTTTCATTAAATTTATCAGGTGGTCCGGTGGGTTTTTGATTTATATGTTGATTCGGAATAAGGAAGAAGACAGATTAAAAAATCGAAGATTAGTTTTATGGAAGCGGGAAAGTCTCGAAATACTCAATGGAGTGTTCCCTTGTCTCTATTCTTAAAGACTTTTTTTTCTCTTTTCATTTCAATGTCTGACACTCTCTGACTTCGACAGTGAGTGAGATTAGATCCCCTGTAATCGAACGTACTTTAACAGTGGTACAACCGCACTCGTGAACCTGATTTGAAAAATCAATGGTGAAGCATGAAGCATCAATGTAATTCTCATTTATGGAGAACTTCTTTGTTTAAAGCACAAGCAAGAAGAGTTTAATGAATGTGAAACCATTTGTTATGCATTGATGTATAGTAGTAGTTAGTAAGTAGAAACATTAATAAAAAAAATTAGTAAAACAAATTTGTAAAGATATGGTTTTTCACTTTTTCTACAGAAAAACAAAATAACAAACAATTTACATGAAATAATTGGGTGAATCAGCTAAATAACTATGATCATATTACTTTATCTATGTGAACACAACAACTGAAAATTTTGTAACTAAAGAGTTTTCATTTTTTTTTCTTTTTCAATTTTTTAACAAAAATTATGAGTTATATTTTAAAATGTTGAAACTAAGAAAGGAGTGAGATACAACTTCTTATTATATTTATGATTTGATTGAAAAATAATTATTATAGAAATTATTATTTTTATTTTTTGGTCTGAAAAAAAACTAAATTAAGCATTTTAATTTTTTGTGAAAGTAGCATTTTCATTTTTTGTGAATGTAAAGTACCATTTTCATTACTCTATTATTTAATTTTGAGCAGAAAAGGGTTACCAAAACAAACCCCATAAAAAAAAAAAAAAAAAAAACCCCTTCTTCAAACTGGTTCTTCCTCTTTCCGCGCCGCGTTCTCTCGAATTCATCCCAAGAAATTATTTTCCGTGTCGCGTTAACAAAACCCAGTTATGGAATTGCTGCTTCGAATTGGTCTGGCTGACAAAGAATTCCTAATTTCAGAACCAGCTTCGGAGAAACGGTGAATGGTTTTCTCTGTTTATAAAGTGTTTCTTCTTCCTAAATTTACAGAAAAAATATGAATTCTCTAAGAGCTTTGAGATGCAATAGCATAGGAGAAGCTTTAACTCATCAAAACCCGAAAAAGGTATCATCTTTTTGTCCCCTTTACTTCTACAACCAGAGGAGATGGTTAAAGCCTGTAGATTCAGCGCAAACCAGGTTAGAGAATCGAACAAGAGACAATCGATTAGACAAACTCATTGCTCAGATGAGGAAGCTAAACATCATCCTCGGAATCTCGAAGCTCATGTCTTGCAAAAAGCGTGGTCCTTTCGTGTCTTTGCAGCTAATGTCTCGATGGAAGAATCTCGTTGGTTTGAATGTAAGCATCGGAGCTTTCGTGGGTAAGTATCCTCATGCCTTTGAGGTCTTTACACATCCTTATAGGAGAAACCTGTGTTGTAGGATCACTGAGAAATTGAAGGAATTGATTGATGAGGAAGAGAATGTGATTAGAGAGTGTGAGATGGATGCAGTGAGAAGGGTAAAGAAGTTGTTGCTGTTGTCTAGAAACGGTGTTCTTCGTGTCCATGCTTTGAGGTTGATTAGAAAAGAACTTGGGTTGCCTGAGGATTTTCGAGACTCGGTTTTGGCTAAGTATACATCAAATTTCAGGTTAGTTGATTTGGAGACTTTGGAGTTAGTTGATGGTGATGATGATGAGAGTTTGTGTGTGGCAAAAGTTGAGGAGTGGAGAGAGATTGAATATAGAGAGAAATGGTTGAGTGAGTTCGAGACGAATTACGCGTTTCCTATCAATCTTCCAACAGGATTCAAGATTGAGAAAGGTTTCAGAGAAGAGTTGAGGAATTGGCAAAGAGTTCCTTATGTAAAGCCTTACGAGAGAAAGCAGATTCCAAGAGGGTTAGAGAGGTTCGAGAAGCGAGTTGTTGCGGTTATACACGAGCTTCTGAGCTTAACTGTTGAGAAAATGGTCGAAGTTGAGAGATTAGCTCATTTTCGAAAGGATCTTGGAATCGAAGTCAACGTTAGGGAAGTGGTCTTGAAACATCCCGGGATTTTCTATGTGTCGACGAAAGGAAGTACGCAGACTCTGTTTCTTAGAGAGGCTTATATCAAAGGCTGTTTGATCGAGCCAAATCCGATATACAATGTGCGGAGGAAAATGCTGGATCTTGTGTTGTTGGGAAACCGTCATTCTAGAGAGTTGTTGCAAACCGGAGATGAAACTGATGAAGAGAAGAGAGATGTTGTAGTGAGCTCTCATGAAAGTTGGGAAGGAGAGAGAGATGGAGATTGGGTCTTACCAATTCTTGGGAAATGATTTAAACAAAGGCCAGGTTCATCTGTCAAGAACAAGATTGCAGAAGCAATGGAGTTTTTGCAGAAGCAATGAAATTATCAGTTGAAAAATCAGATTATTGTGATTTGGTTGATTGATAAGCCATGAAAAGGCTTTATTATGTGAGGCGTGGTTCAAACAAGAAAGGTTGGAGAGAAGTAGAGAACAATGATGCAATGTGGCAGGAGTAGCTTCAGAAGCTGTTGAAGAGATTAGAAGAGTTTTAGTTGGACTTTGCTTTATAATCGACACTGTAAGTAAAGGCAGAGGAATAAAATTCAGAAAATAGAAGATGACTTGTGGAGGTAGCTTGATTTTGAGTATCTTGTTGTAATCTGTTTACTGCTCTTGTCTGATCAATGATTATTCTTGTCTCATGTCTAACACATATTTTGTTTTGTGGGCGATAGGTGTGATTAGGAAGAAAATGTAAAAAAAAAACAACAAACAACAAACCATTTGATAAGAATTGATTTGGAAGAAGAGGAACACAAAATGGAGATTTACATCTCACTGAGTTCTTCATAGATAGGGAATCATCAGAACGTCAGTGAATTTATGTGAAAAGTCATAAACAAACTTGGTAAGAACAAAGAAATTACAGAGAAAATATATGGTTAGAACACTAAGTACAGTAATTGCAGAAACTTCACCAACTCATGCTTCTTCTGCTTCTGGTCTAGATCGGCGAAACTTGAAGCCCAACAAGGCTCATTAATGTGGGTTTATGTTTATGAAGGCCCAATTTAAGCTCATGTTACTTTTGAAAATGCTGCATATGCCAGTTATCAAATTAGTTTTCAATTACCACTAATATTTTATCCATATACAGTAGAAACTCTATATATTAATACTCGATAAATTAATAAATGCAATAAATTAATAATTTTTCATGGTTCCGAGTTGGACCAGTTCAAAATATAACTCGATTCGATAAGATAATAAGATAATAATTTTAGCAAAATTTCTATGTAAATATATGGTCCCATTAATATCATAAATTAATTACTATAAATAAATTTTGATATAAACATATAAATAAAATAATTTATTAAAATATAAGTTTAGTGATGTTTTTATTTATTTTAACTTAAAATTTTCTTAGAAATCATCTTTAATATTAGAAATAATTATTTAAAAATTATAATTTTTTACAAAAATCTCTTTCAAAATTGATAAAAAATAGAAAATATTTTTTTCTTTTAAATCTATAAACTAATAACTCTATAAATTAATAAATATCAAAGTCCCAACATTATTAATTTATAGAGTTTTTACTGTATGATGTTTAGAAATTTGATAACATGTAATGTGTGATAGAAATCGCCCTAAATAGAAATAGTAAAAATTGTTTTTTTAAATGATGTTGCCCAAAAAAACACAAAGGGGAAAACATATTATCAAATGCTTTGAAGATATATTTTTCTTGTAAAATCTGCAATCATTTGAACATCACATAACGTGCGGGTTTTTTTTTCAACTATTTCCAATTTATATATTTTATATTTTTCTAAAAAAAATATAATCATCAATTGCTATATTATTATAAATCAATCAATTTTAAATATAATATTATTAATAATTAAAAGTTTTATACCAAAAAACCATCAATATTTTTAATTAATTATAACATAAATTCTTGTTTAATATTTACATAAATGTTATTTGAGAATTTATTAATAAAAAAACTTTTCATATTATTAACAAAACAAAAGTTTTATACAAAAAAATCATCAATATTTTTAATTAATTATAACATAAATTCTTATTTAATATTGACATAAATGTTAATTAAGAATCAATTAATAAAAAAAAAACTTTTCGTTTTCTTTGAGTGGTTAAAACTTAATATTAAAATTTATTAATTAATTTTTTAAAAAAATTGTAACTTTAAATTAAAAATTGACATATTATTAACAAATCAAAAGTTTTATACAAAAAATTATCAATATTTTTAATTAATTATAACATAAATTCTTGTTTAATATTGACATAAATGTTAATTAAGAATCAATTAATAAAAAACAAACTTTTTGTTTTCTTTGAGTGGTTAAAACTTAATATTAAAATTTATTAATTAATTTTTTTAAAAAATTGTAACTTTAAATTAAAAATTGACACATGTCATCTCTATATTAACTTTAAAATGCTGAGATGTCACTCATATGGAGAAAGTTAATCATCTTTTATATATAAGATAATATTTATATACAGTAGAATATAGAAATATATAGTGTGCAAGTTGACAATCATTCCAAATGCCTGATGTAAATTACAACAGATATTAACGTGTTTGGAATGTTAAGGTAAAATCAGACAAAAGTGAGGAGAATCAAATAAAATGTTTTATCTATAAATGGAGTATCAAAAAGCAAAAATAAAAAGTGAAAATTTTAACCAACTCAAAAAATGAAGCATCAAGTTAGCCGTTATGTTTGAATTAGCTTAGCTCAAATGAATAAGTCAAGAGTTGTCCTGGTTTGTAGGAACAACTCTGAAGTAGTCGTAGCATAACTTTAGTAGCTTAAGTTTCGGAAGTTTGTTTTTGAAAGTCCTTATAAGGACCAGCTGATGTATTGAATCGTTATGTGAAATAAAAATACAATTCAGCAAACTATTTCTCTGTTTCTATATCTCTGTTCTTACAAAAAAATGGTGAAAAGGAAATTCAAGAAGAGAATGAAAGGATGTGAAGAAATAGACGTGACGAAAGTGCTGAGGCTTAAGTACTTTGGTGTCTCTCTTTTGGTGAATGATGAGAAAACCATCCACATCGAATTTGATAAAAACAAAAATGATTAATATATACCAAAATAAAAAAGTTTGAAAGCGGAATAAAGTGGAATTCATAACAAAACAAGGAAAATTATGGAACATATAAAACAAAATGAAGGCAGCCAAGAGTCTTTCGCCTAGAGTCATATAAATTTCATATAGTCAAGCAAGTTTTAATTTATCGGGCTTTAATCTTTGGACTTAAAAATTACGGTATACATCGTTGGAAATAGAAAAAACAAACAAAAAAACAAATAAGCTCAACAGCTTCTCATTAGCATTATCTTGCGAATACATTCGCACCTCACCCACTTTGTTTTGTCTCCCTCATCTAACATTATTATTCTATCACGTGGATAGTACGGCTCAAGACCGCAAAATATGAATGAGTAGAATGTTTGGACAAACGTGAATCTCCATTTATATGTTTTTGTGAAATTTAGTTATTGATGAATACAAATTAAGATATTTGGATTAATTTCTTACGATTTTTCCATGGATTTGGTAGATAATTTTCAATATATATCTCGATAGAGAACTATGGTTATAATTTTGTACACAAAAGAAAAACCTTACACTAATATATTCCTAATTTTTCAACCAAATACGAGAAGTCTTAGAAGATAATTCGTAAGAAAAAAAAAATCAATGATTTTGGCTAAAATACAAAGATTAATTGCATTTGGTAATTAGGACCATATTTTAAATATTAATATCAAAATTTTATGTTTCATGACTAAAAACAGTACTTTTGTCTCTACAATTTGTATAACTTTAGCTCTAACGAAAACATTTTAAAACTCTTTGTGTAAGTTTGTATATGAAAACTGTTTAATAATCTTTTTATACATAACACTCACATTAACTAACAGAAAATGTCGTTTTTAATGTTGTTTTTCCTATAATTTCAAACAAAAATACATAGTACCTTGAGAGAAAAAAAAAAAGCATTTATCTCACACGTCACAAGTCCATAACAACAGCCGAATCTAATAATACACACCTTTGTTTTTCCTAAACTCAACGCGAAACCGTACGAATGTCTTTAAGAAGACCCAACACTTGTTGCATTGTTGGTCGTTTTCCCGGCGTCTCGGCCGTACAAAAATATCCAACCCTAAGACTCTCGACCATCTCATTAACCGATTCTCCAAACCGCAATCTCGAATCAAGAGCTTCCTCTCCTCTCCTCTCCTTAACCAAACGTCGAACCGATTTCACATTCTCCTCTTTCCCTTGCTTCCCGGTTAATAGCTCAAACAAAATCACCCCAAAACAATACACATCGAATTCTACATTGTGGTTATTAGTATCGTCCCCGGTTGTCGAGATATTGTTTATACCGAAATCGGAGATTCTCGGCTCTAGGGTTTCGGTTAAGAGGATGTTGGTAGCGACTAAGTGACCATGAGTGGTTCCAACATGATGTAGATAGGCTAAACCACGTGCTACTCCAATCGCGATACGGTGACGTATTATCCAGTTTGTTTTTTCCGGTGATGAATCTCCGACGTGACTCTCCCATGTATCGGCGCTCCAATCTTCCACGTTGGTTTCTCCCGCCGGGAGCTCGTGAAGCCATCGGTGAAGATCTCCGTTTGCCATATATTCATATAATATAAGCTTCTCTTTTCCTACAAACAACAAATCACATAATTCTGTTATTCTATTTTTTTTTTTTGACTCAACAGTATTATTTTGTTATTCTGTTGAAAACTAAGCCGTAACTCTATGTAATTTATAGGAAATTTGTATAGAAAAAGTCGATTTTTTTTACCAATTTTTTTTTTAAAAAGGGACAACACTCAGCTGATAGTAGATGTGATAAAAAAAAGAAGCGTCAAAAAATGTGAAATGATTTTAAACCTAAATTTAACACTTTAACTAATAAAATATTAATTTGATCCCAACAACATAACTAATAAATGATTAAAAGTAATCTTAGATTGCAAAACATCTATAGTGAAAATGGTAAATAACAACAGAAATAAATATAAACACTTCGGACAAGCTATAATCTCTACTTGTCCCAAAGCAAAGGATGTGACTTGTCTGCAAATTTTTAAAAAGTCGTCGCAGTCCACTCATATAAACATCAAATGATAAAACCCTAAAACTGTCATAAGAAATCTATCACACACACTTTATTTCTCTGAGAAACTTTTTGGCATAATTATACATTTTTACGTTAAGGTCACGAAAATTCATAAAATCTGTAATCATGGCACAAAAATATTAGATTTTTTTTACGTGACGTATCATCACACGACTGACTTTTCTTCGTTTGTACAGTGCATACTCCTAAAGAATACGACACCGTTCAGCATTTAATGCCTCCTCATTAATGTTTTTTTCCAAAAACCCGTGAAAGTAGAGACAAAAATTCATTAAATGACGTCTACGCCTCGATGTTTTGTTTGTTTTAAATTTCAACCCCCAGCAACAGAAAAATATTGTAGAATAATTAGTCAAACCCTAGTGTTGATTTTGACTCTTAATATTTTGATTCTAAATTTAGCTTACTCCATCAATTAACTTAGATGATTAATTGTTTATATGTTGTTTTCGGAAAACAGAAGTCAGCGATGTTACTAATTTTGTGCGTGAAATATATGTTCAAC